GACCAACAGTGTTGATCCGCGTTAACTTTACTACTATGTCTCTCCGCAATTTTTCCCGGGGTAAAAGAACGTAAAACAGATTTTCCGATATGAAGTATAAAAGATGCACACTGCAATGGGGGGATGCGTGTGAGAGGGATTCCTTGTTCATACCAGCGGATTTCCACCCTGCCACTTGATCACCATGCGTTCGTCTGGGCTATCACTCTTGTTCGGCGCCCTTTTGGCATCTGCAAGCCCTCTCAAAACTTCTAGATACACTTGTCAAACGGCCCTCAGCTGTCCGGAAGGAACTATTGTTGTCTCCAAGACTGACCCCTCCGCCCATTTCACCACTGTACAGGATGCCATTCTTTCCCTCCCGAATGACAACACCACCCAGACCATCCTCATCCTTCCAGGAACGTACAAGGAGCAAGTAAATGTGACTCGGTCCGGGCCTGTTACGCTCCTCGGACAGACCGATGATCCTAACAATGCCACCAAAAATAAAGTCACCCTTACCTGGGCCCAAGCGAACCATGACAATACCGGCCAGGCAGTAGATAATGTCTTCTCCAGCGTCCTGACCGTTGCGCCCACGCTGGAATCAAGCTATACGGGATCGGGCACGACAGGGTATCCTGTGCCGGAGGACACGCCGTTCGGCAATGTCGATTTCCGGGCATACAATATTGATTTTACGAATACATGGCGAGAGTACTCCGATGGACCGGCGCATGCGATCAGCTTCAGTCGCGCCAATGGCGGGTTCTATCACTGCGGATTCTATTCTTATCAGGATACAGTACGCTTTCCTTTCTCTTGCAGTCTAGTGAACTGAAACTAACCAACGAACTCAGGTTTACGTGGGCAAACTCGGTAACGCATACTTCCATAAAAGCATCATCGCTGGCCAAACCGACTTTCTCTATGGTTTCGGCACCGCCTGGATCCAATCCTCTGAGATCCTGCTGCGCAGCTGCGGTGGCGGTATCACCGCTTGGAAAGGAACCAACACTACCTTCACCAACAACTACGGCGTGTACATCGTCGATTCTACCGTCAAGGCAGCCAACGCGTCCATAGCCCCTGATATCCGGGGTAAATGCGCCCTGGGCCGCCCATGGAATAGCCAGCACCGGTCCGTGTTCGCGCGCACCTCCGAAGACGCCAGTATCAATCCAGCTGGGTACATCGACTGGATCGTCGACGGCGTGGGGCGCCTAAACAAGGATACTGTCATGGCCGAGTACAAGGCTTTCGGACCAGGCTTCAACGCCACCGGACGGGAAGATGGAAACGTCACGATAGTCCTGGACGACAAAGAGTACGCGAGATACAGCTCCCCAGCACGAGTCTTCCAGTACCCCGACGGGAAATCCGGAAACATCGGCTGGATCGACTGGAGTGTGGCCAAGAACTGATTCAATTACTATTATCTATCATACTACTCCAAATCCAAATACACACTGTCCCAATCATACCAGACACCACTCCACCACTAATCAAGTAACAGTAAAAGTAGAAGAAAACAGAAAATGAAAAGAGACATAACAAAAAGTATACACATGTATAAAGCCTTTAGCTAGCTAATCAATCCCCCAACCCTAGCCAAATACGCCGCCCCCGTATCCGCCCAAACCTCATAATCCACCACCTTCACCTCCCCGTCCTCCTCCTCCTCCTTCACAAGCCCAATCCGATACGCAAACGTCTCATCCCAAGCCTGCCCCGTCTCATTCCACCGAAACCTGCCCTCCCCCCGCAGCGACACAGCCATCGCCCTCTCATCCACGACCCATTTCTCCTCCGGCTCGAACTCCATCTTCTCGATCGTAAGCAGCTCAGCCAGGAGTCCGAAGTAGCGTTGGATGCCCTCCTGGCCGGTGAATGGGCGGCCGAGGAAGGGGGCGAGCTGCGGGAGACCGTGCTCGAGGGCTGTGGGCGGGGGCTCGTGGGTGAAGTTGGAGAGGAGCGTGGGTAGGGGGGCGCTGGTGGAGAAGTTTTGGCATAGGGTGCGGGTGCGGGTGAGGAGGGCGGTTCGGGTTGGCATCTTTTGGTTTTTTCTTTTTTTTGTGTGTTGGGTTAGGATGTGGTGGTGATGGTGATTAATTATTGTTTGGGGTTTGTGGTGAGGGGAGTGGTTGTTTTCACTATGACGTCGGTGGGTTTGAAACATACTATCAGAGCTTATGTTGGCTTGTTTGATTAATTGAGTGGGAGCAGTCAACGCACTTCGTTAATCATCTATCTACCGGCACTAAATAGTCAAAATGTAATGGTAATGAGAAAAAGCTCGTGGGGCTCAACCTGCTTTGCCGCCCGAGAATGAAGACCTCTTTTAAGCAACCAAACTCCACGCCGTAGCGTAATCGGACAGACTCGATAAAACAGCTATAGAAGATAAAGATAAAATGGGATGGGAAAGATGAATGGAACAGTAAATCGGAGGAAGATAGAAGAATAGAAGAGGATGGAGTGGGGATGAGAAAGAAGTTACTGCTTCCAGGACTTTCCGCAGTTCAGACAAGTACAGAACAGAGTCATCGGTTCGTCTGCACTGCGCGTCTGCGCCTCGGTATATGTGACTTTGCGCTGTCCGCACTTGCCGCACTGCAGACTGGTACTGATACTGCGCTCTGCTTGGGCGACCATTGCCTTGTCCATGTTCTCCTTCTGGATCTTTGCGTCCTTCTCGCGCTGTTCGTCCGAGCGCAGCTCGTCGTGGGACATGCGCACGAACTGCTCGGGGGTCACGTCGCTGCTGAGAACACGGACGCGGAGAGTCGGATTCGATTTGTTCTTGAGGTTTTGGAATAAACTGCGGATCTTGGTGCGGTACTGCGCTTTGGTCTCGGGGCCCAAGGACTTGTATGCTGCGGCCTCCACGGCCGACGCCTTGGAGAGAACATTACGTGGAGCTTCCGTCGAGTTCAGACAGAGTCCATCATACATCAGCCCAATGCAACTATCCCGAATCTTATTTCCTGTCTGGTTGACATCCACACCATCTGCCTTCCATGTACGTTTATCCGGGGCAACCGATAATTTGGAAGCCTTGTCGGTAGGCGTCGTACCAGCAGGTGAAGCGGTTCCGTTCTGGGCTGGGCGCGGCGAGTTGCTTGAACGCTGGCTGGGCGCGGGTGATCCACTCGCCTTCTGCTTGTTGACTTCAGTCCGCCACCTGGACACGATTTCACTGGATAAGCGGGAGACCTCGGGCGACTTGTGCTGTTTGAACTTGTTGACGATGATTCCCACACGGGTGGACCGCAGCAGATCCTCCGTCGCTTTCACACCTTGCTGGAGCTCTTTAAGCAAGGACACAATGTTGGCTGCTGGTTCATTCTGAGTAGCGGCCTTCGTCAAGGCCTTCGCCTTGAGCTCAATTTCTTTCGCTTCCAAGGGCATGATGTCAATGTGATCGAAACGAGGGGCAGGAGACTTCGAAGGACCTGTCGAATGAAATTCTATGATTAGCGCAAAACGGAGAAAATTCCGGTATAGAGCGACCAGTCCAGCCAAGAGAAGACGATAAATCTCATGAGCTCTAGATCCCAGCGAAGGAGACCGCTCATAGGACCGCCAGAAGAGAATACGAAGCTTCCCGAGCTAGCCATCTCCCAGAAAAGAAAGACTGACGTCGCCGGGCGCTGGAGTATGGCGGGACAACCCATGCGCACGTGCCTCTTCAGGAAACTCCATTAATGCGAAATCATGAAGCTTCTCCATTTTATGCGTAATAAATGTGCTGTATCAGGCGCCGGATGGCTTTGGCAGGAACCGGCGGCAAGCGATGGTGAATGGAATGCAAGGAAGAGGGGGGTTTAACACTCACTGTTCACAAAGTTCACCGTAACGTTCAAGAGCCGGCGCAAATGATCGCAGGTGCGGTTTGAGGGGAGCGAATGCTAAAACACTCCTCAAACGCGGCGTCAAACGAGAGGGGGAGATTGAGGAGACGGTATCCAGGATGGAGTGGTAGAGGAAGAAGAGATGAAAGTCGGAAGTAATTTATAAAGGCTGCGATTCCGCGCGATTCCCATTACTCCACGCCAAGCCTGACTTGCCTGTTTCGGAATGGTCGCCTACGGACCTTTAAAGGGCAGACGGCGGTGATATGCGGCAGAATCGCTACCTTCACCAGTTGTTTCTCCGGTTCCGATCTCTATCAACTATACATAACCCAGAGACCTCATTCTGAAAGAGAAGTGCCGGTGCCTACTATCCTTTGTCTTCCACTGGTTTTCTGGCGTAAACTTCATTGATCGGAGTTCTCTACCAATAGGCTAGGCTAGAGAGTATGTGTCTGAATGGCTCAGGCTACCTAGAACCAAAGCCTCTACAATCAATCTCGTCTATAGTTGGCAATCCAGGGGACTGGCGCATATAATCGTTGGGTCAGCGGGGGTCAAGCATGTGGGGGAGACAGGCTGCAGCATGGCATTTCATCACGGTGATGTCCGTTCAGGCAGGAACCGACTGAGATCATACTCACCTAGGTAGCATCAGACCACAAATAGAAAGAGCAGTGCTCTCTTCTCTATGTTCCTATTCTTCACACTCTTGCCAGTATAGTGTATACAGCTCTCATCCACCTACATATCATTCTCGGGGTGCTACAAGCTTCAATATTCCATTTGTGCTTGACGAGCCAAGCTCCCAACTTTCTATACCCTCTACAACGCAATGAAGATTAGCAGCTTCCTCATTGTCCTCCTCCCAGCCGCCCTCGCCCTACCCCTCCCCACGCCAAACAACGGCACTAAAAGCCTCTCAGAAAGCCTGGACCTCCAGGCTATCACTGACGAGCTGCTTTTTAGCATCGAGCTGCCCGAATTCACAGCTCGCAGAGGGGAGAAAGACCCTCCTCAGTTAGACTGGTACTCTGACGGCTGCACAAAGGCTCCAAGCAACCCGTTTGGATTCCCTTTCCAGCGCGCATGCGAGCGCCATGACTTCGGATACCAGAACTACCGAAGACAAGGGCGCTTCACCAAGGCCGCAAAAGCGCAGATAGATCTTCGATTCAAAGAAGAGTGCGGTCTCCCTTTCCTCTCCTTCCCTCCCTCTCGTCTGAAACCTGCTTTTCTTGCTTTCTTTGACACTGAATATCGAGGGTCTAGATGGCTAACATGTTTGGTTGTTCTTTAGTCTTTACCATCAGTGTGAACTAGGTCACGCTGTCGGTTTTTGTAAGAAATTAGCAAACGTGTACTACCGTGCTTCAGGGCGGCATGGTGGTAAAGATGCTACGAAGAGAATGGAGTGAGATGACCTTCTTTAGAGCTATGTACAGAGGACGCCCAGCAAAGGGGAGAATCACCACATTTGGTTTGAGTGGGAGAAACATGGACCACTCATTGGATTTTAGTGGCAATGGACTACGAAGTCTAACCTGTATGATATCAAATATTCTGACATACTGTAAATAATAACAGGTAAACTCGGAGATGTGTGCTTTACACGCTTGTCTATGGTTGTATCTATTCTTCCTTCGTAACATCTCTTGCGTGTAGATCTCATTCTCATTTTTGATTCATTATATACATCACTGGGGCAAAATGCAAGTCGTATGGTTGGAACGGGCCAATGGTTGTCTAATCGAATGTCCCTGAAAAATAAATACCAAGATGCGAGCGTGACAATGGGCATGAAGCATAAAACAAAGGACATCAGCCGTATCTAAGCGCGGGTGCAACTCACGGCGGGCGGTGTCAGGGCAACTTCAACTGGCACGTTGGTTCGGTCTTTTCCGGAGCTCATTGTTGTGGACTCTTTTGACCGTAACCAACGGATGCATGCCAGCCAGCCCTAGACACATCATTAGACATGAGCGCAGCTCCTGCGCGCAAGTAGGTACCGCCGCTGCATCGGGTATATGGGGAATGACGGGAGTGGGCGAATGATCGGTCAAACCAGGGCGTGTTTACAGACCAGTCTTTCCCAGAGCCTCGGCAAGTTCGTCAACTTCCTTGTCCTGCTTCTGAGAGACCTTGGCCTCTTCGGCCTGAGCATTGTCTTTCACGAACTTCTCGGCCTTCTCTTCTTCCTCCTCTTCCTCCTCCTCCTCTTCTTCCTCGTCGCTCTCCTCTTCGAGCTCATCCAGCTCGTCCACACCCCACATCTCCTCCGGGTCATCATCCTTGCCGTGCTCTTCCTTACGAGCCTCTAGGATCTCGCGCAACTCATTGACGTTGTCGTCCTCCTCCATAAACTTGTTACCGTTCAACTCAATTCGGCGCAACGAAGGCAGTGCGGTCTTTGTCGCATGCAAGAACTGTTTAACACCCTCGGCTGTGATATCATTATATTGCAGACGAAGTGTTTCCAACTTCGCGTTCTTGGCACCAGCCAAAGCCTGCGCAACCTTAACACCACCACGAGCGGAGAGCAAACAGTCACCGACACCGAGCTCGCGCAGGGAAGTCCATCCTGGAAGCACCTCAGAGAGAGCAGTAGAGCCCATGAGGGTGAAGGTGTTATCCTGCAAGTCAAGGACCTCAAGGTTGCTGGCGTGGCGGAGACCCTCCCTCAACAACAGGGAGACACCCTCCTGACGAATACCGTTCTGGGTCATCTTCACTGAGCGCATTCCTGCGGCGTGCACCTCGTATGCACGTGCCCACGCTGCCATACTTCCATTCTCCAGTCGGTTCCGGCCACAGACAATGCTCTCCAACTGAGGGACCTCCTTTCCTGCCTTGCGGGCCTCCTCCTTACGCTTTGCGAGCTCCTCCAGTGCTCCAGCAATCTCCACACCTGCATCAGGACCCATACCATTATTGTTCAGAATCAGGTGGCGCAAAGGAACGTGGGCAGAGAGGAAGTCGACGAGGGGCTTCGAGGTCCGCTTGCCGAAGGCATTGTCGGAAAGGTTGACGGTGTGAAGCGTCGGGATTTCAAGGAGCGCATTCAAAAGGTGAGTCAACGCGATGGGGATCTCTTCAATCAGACGCGAAGTGAAGATGTCGGCAAGTTCAGCGACTTCGAGGTTCTTCTGGGTGGAAAAGGCGGCACCCAAACGCTCACAGGCTGTCACGCCGAAAGTATTGCCACCCAGGCGGATTTCAGTGTAATCAGCGCTCTCGATCAGAGGTGCAATATGGGCTTCAACATCCTCAGCAGTGTCCAGCTTGAGGCCTTTGCCTTCAAGAGAAAAGACCTTAGAAGGGGCCATGGCGGGGTAATTTCAGGGGTGGAATTTGGTATCGAAATAAGACAATCTGAGAAGACAACAGGGAAACGGTGGTCAGTATATTGTCTAAAATGACTATACGAAGCAAGACCCCAGCAAACGTTATAAAGAGTGTGGAAAAGCAAAGCGAGTGCGAAGGAAAGAAGAATAAAAACTTGGAGAAAGTCAAGCGGGATGATATGCACCTGCAATGAAGAACCCAAAATCGCACGCTAAACCCAATCTGATCCATAACCAAACATGCGATCGTCGTTTCAGGAACCCACAGCAACCAGTGCCGCCATTTGTGCATCGCATCATTGCATTAATCAGCATCTTTTTCCAATCCAGGTTGATTCATCTACAATCCTTCACGATCTCGCGTCTTAACCTACGTACCTTCGAATCCACCTACCTCCCTCAATCTTTCCCATCAACCTCCCAAAAAACCCTTCCACCATGTCGTGGCTCTTCGGTTCCAGCAGTAAGTCAACGTCTCCAGACCTCCGGTTCTCCGCAAGTCCATTCAATAACATACAAAACCCCCAGGTTCTACAGAGAAAGCCCCCGAACCTACCCCGGCCCCTGCCGAGAAGCCAAAAGTACGACTGCCCTGACGTTCTTCGACTCATCTCCAAAACTGATGCTAATCAAACATTGATACAGCCCTGCTGCGTCTGCAAAACCGAAAAGACCGCTCGTGATGACTGCATGCTCTTCTCGAAATCTGACGACCCACAGCAAGAATGCAAGTCCATGATTGAACAGTACAAGGCCTGTATGGCTGGATACGGCTTCAAGGTCTAGATGTTTTGTTACCGGGAACGGGATCAAATGCACGCAGCTTGGTTTTCACTGCATGGTGTTTTGGGATTCGGGTTTATGCATAGACTGTACATTAGATGCGTATTACTGTAATGGTTGATGGGAACTCTCCTTTCTTGTGAGATAAATTAGAATGTAAAATATGACTCTTGATCAAAGTTGTGGAGGTTTGACTTGAGCATAGTGTTCTGTATTAAAGCTTCAGTTTAAGCTGCTTCGGCCTTTATGGTAGATAGAACATGGTTGGTGTAGGTTGCGTAATAAATGTTATATACAAATCACAGAGCTATGCGTGGCGCCCTTGAAAAGAAAATGGGTATCTCTCAAATTAACCTCCTGATCTGGTTTGAATATGGGAAACAAACGCTTGTGTGTACTATTGGTTCTTTTTCTGCGAATCCTTTTCCACTTTGCGCCCAATCATCCAGCATTGTAAAACCAGCTTCCGTAGGCACCACAAATACGCGAGTCCAAATCCGCCAGCACCGATAAGCACATTGAGCACCACCCAGAGATCGGGTTTTGCAGATGGAGGAGGAACAAAGGCTTCTAGCACATGCCACGCGACCATGGCAAGATAGAAGCACAAATGAAGAAGTTTGGTGATAATGTGAGGTTCGGGGAGAGGTGAGGAGTCATCGGAAGAGCTTCGGCCACGGTAAACTTCTAGAGAGGCGGGAGGAAGACCAAGTAGATAGGCCCAGAGGAATGTCATGACGAAATAGGGAACTCGGAGGCCGTCGCGCTGCAGAAGAGGGAACATCGTCCAAGAGCCGAGCATGTTAGCCCACCCAACCCAGGCGCGGGTTTCTTTGCTTAGACCTCCATCGCCAGAGAGCATGAGTGTCATGGGCAACAAGGGTAGTAGAACACTCTTCTCGTGGACCTGGAAAGAGAACAAGAAAAATCCCCAGGCCACTGTAGACAAGGCCGGAAGAAGAAAGGAGGCACGTGGGTGACGGAAAATTATAGCGCAAGGAATCAAGATGGATGCTAATGTGGCACCCAATGACACTCGTTGGAGCAGAGTCGCCTCGAATCGATGGAGTTTGTAAAAGGTGTGAATGGCGCACCAGGCATTTGCAACCTTGTCTTCGAACAAACCACGAGCAAAAGGAAAGACTCGGTGAATGACCTGCGTCAGCTGAAGCAAGGGCGCGTAAAGTATCGAACCCTTGTCTAGCTCGATAGGCAGCGCCTGTAGGAGGGGGGTAGCGGTATGGAGGACAATTCAATCTGAGCATCTGCACTGACGGCACTCACTACGAGTGGAGCAATAAGAACGGCAAATGCAACAATCGTAACCAAGGAGATGCAAAGAAGGCGGATGAGCTGAATCCGAGGGAAAACGCAAATCCCCAGAAGAAAAGCGAACATGACGGGCGCGTAGTACAGAGCCATTTGTTTGAACCCCAAGGCACCCACAAAGAAGATACATGCCCAAAGCATGCGTCCTGCCAAAATCGCATCCAGACTTGCAGCAACAAGCCCCAGCATGACCGTGTTGTATTGAAAATGTCCATGATCGATCAAAATGGTCGACGGCTGCAAAAGGATAGCAACCATGGCGACAGAGGCAGACCATACGGGTACTCCGTGCATTTGCGTGTATCGGCGCAGAAAATTGACAACTGCTGGAATGAAAATAAGATACTCGGATACTACCACCGTGGCACGCATGTAGACTTTCAGCCGAGGATCCTCGAAGCCACGGGACTTATCCAGAGCAAACCATGAGGGATCAAAGAGAGTACCACTACCACAGTCAGCATCAGTACGGCTATATTTCGCGGCATCAAGAGTTCACGTACATCTTTCCCAACAGCCAGCTATGATATGCAGTCAATGGTGGATAATCAAGTCCCCAGTACTGAAGGTCGTATGTGTACCATTTTGACATGGGTAAATTAATTGTTATCTCCATCCAGTGTCTCTGTGCCTCGAAATCGCCATGCATTGGGGGTACTTGGAAGCCTATATGGGTTAGAAACAAACTACATTCACCGGGGGATCGTTCCACTTACCAGAGTATCCCCACAAACTAACGGCCCAGCGAAATAGGCCCACGGCCATCAAAATCAGAGGTAAAATGAGCCATTGAGACACACCTGCTCGAGCTGCCCATAGGAAGGACACCAAAGGGAATGCAGGAGTATGTTTGCCGTTTCCATCATCCACAATAAGGGCGTTGTTTGACCCGGTGGACGACAAGGGGAACTTTCTCTTCTTCCGTGGACGGTAGGAAGAAGGGGGAGGAGCCATGTTGTCGAGACGAAATATGATTAAGAGCAACCCATTGACTGCGTATGTGTCACGCGAAGCCAAGCCAAGGAATAGTTGAGACCAAGGACAAGGTCTAGTGAATCGGATAGAGGAGAAAGAGTCGGGGCAGAATAGATGGATGCGGCCAGCTCAATGCAATTGTTGGTTCCGGAGAATGACATACAGTGGGCAAATCTTCACCAGTCAAAGATCTACTCAATCTCCACTCAAAGTACCTGGACCATACCTAGACTAGAAGGCGGTCAGCATTCTAGTATGCATTAGTCAGACCTCATGAACCTCTGACTGGGGCGATGAGCTTTTCTATCCAGGTTGTGTATTGAGATGCCTCTAACTTGAGCAAAAGAGTCCAGTCTTATTTGGAAAATTCCCTTCTAAGCATTTTTCTATATTGCTGTCTGCCTGGATTTTTCGAGTAAACTAAGATTTCTGTTAATAAGACAATGGGCTCAAAATTCTGACAACCACATGGCTCACGTGAGAGAATGTTGAAATAATTCTGCCGGATAATTGACTGGCCGCTTACAGGTACAAAGAACCTCCTTGGTCTTGTCCCTGGGTCTGGCAGGCGGTGTACAGGAATTTCTGCCAGCCCCGTTTTTTTTCTGCCTTCCGCCCGGGTCCACATCTTATCAGAGCTCCAGCTTTTGAAATTTTCTTTTCCTTCTTCTCTTCCCATCTTCACTTATTCTTTATCCTTGCCTTTTTCAATTCTATATCTTTTCACTTAGTAGTATTTCTACCAAGTGAATCTTACCAATCCTCCCCCCGTATTCACTTTCAACAGACATCCTGTGGGCTTAATACAGAGGGCTGTGGGCTGTGGCATATTGCAATTTCTCTTGTGGGATCTGTGGGTTACTCTCGTGGGTTTCATTATACAGTTGCGTATTTCCTGTCCGTCTCTTGTGGGCTTGAACACTGTCGTTGTGGGTTATTTGTGGGTATCTGAGAAATCTCTTCTCTGAAATCGGGTGATTGAGGGATTGTACGATTTGCCGCACATTTGTGGGATCTATCATTAGAAAATCTTTTGCTTTGATCTGAACTCCAAGTCTATTACATTTGGTTTGTATTTCATTCTTGCCCTATGGTCATTTCCCGTGTATGAACTAACAATCCACGTCGCCAGATTCAAAATGTCCAAGACTAAGTCCGTTACCAAGAAGGGTGCTGAGAAGCCCGTTGACAAGACCTTGAGCAAGGTCAAGGACTCCGGTGTCTCCAAGGCTTCCCAGTCTCCCAAGGCCAAGAGCAAGCAGATTGCTCGCGAGGTCGCCTCCAAGGGCGAGAAGTCTAAGCGCAAGAAGAAGGAGCCTACTCCCAGCAGCAGCTCTGAGTCTGACAGCGATGAGGAGATGGAGTCTTCCAGCTCCAGCAGCGAGAGTGAGAGTGAGGAGGAGAAGCCTGCCAAGGAGGTGAAGAAGGCCGACAAGAAGAAGGCCGCTGAGTCCTCTTCCGAATCTTCCTCTGAATCGGAGTCCGACTCTGACAGTGACGAAGAGATGGAGGACGCTTCCAGCAGTGAGAGCGAGGAGGAGAAGCCCGCTAAGAAGGATTCCAAGAAGGAGTCTAAGAAGGCTAAGGACTCCTCCGACTCTTCCGACTCTTCTGAGTCTGAGTCTGAGTCTGAGGACGAGAAGCCCGCTAAGAAGGAGGTCAAGAAGGTTGAGAAGGCTGCCGAGTCCTCCGACTCCTCCGACTCCTCCTCCGATGAGGAAGAGGCTCCCAAGAAGGCTGCTAAGGAGGCTAGTGACAGCGACTCTTCCGAGTCCGAGTCCGAGTCTGACAGCGAGGAGGCTCCCAAGAAGGCTGAGAAGGTATGTTGTATTGTCCATATTCTACGTCATTTCAGAATGCTAATGGTTCTAGCAGTCTTCCGATTCCAGTGACTCTGACTCGTCCGACTCCGACTCTTCTGAATCTGAGTCTGAAGACTCTTCCAAGGACTCCAAGAAGCGCAAGGCTGAGGATGATGTCTCTGCCACTCCCAAGAAGACCAAGACTGAAGAGCCTGCTGCCGGCGCGTCGGCCAACCTCTTCGTTGGAAACCTCTCCTGGAACGTGGATGAGGCCTGGCTCCAGAGTGAGTTCGAGGAATTCGGTGAGCTGTCTGGCGTTCGTATCATGACCGAGCGCGACACTGGCCGCTCTCGCGGGTGAGTATTTCTTTATCAAACTGTTCACGATGCTGTACTAACGCTTCCAGATTCGGTTATGTCGAATATGCCAACGCTGTTGACGCCGCTAAGGCTTTCGCAGCCAAGAAGGACACCGAAATCGACGGTCGCAAGATCAACCTTGACTACGCTACCGGACGCCCCGCCAACCGGGACCAGGGTGGGTTCCAGGACCGGGCTCAGGCTCGTGCCCGTTCCTTCGGTGATCAGGCCAGCCCCGAGAGCGACACTCTCTTCGTCGGCAACATCCCCTTCAGTGCTAACGAGGACTCTCTGCACGAGGTGTTCGGTCAGAAGGGAAGCATCATGGGCATCCGCCTGCCGACCGACCCCGAGTCTGGCCGCCCCAAGGGCTTCGGATACGTCCAGTTTTCGTCGGTTGAGGAAGCTCGCGAGGCCTTCAACGAGCTGAACGGTGCCGAGATCGATGGCCGCCCTGTTCGCCTGGACTTCAGCACTCCCCGTGCCAACAACGGCGGCGGCGGTGGCGGCGGTGGCCGTGGCCGTGGCGGCTTTGGCGGACGTGGTGGTGGTGGTCCCCGTGGTGGTGGCCGCGGTGGTCGTGGCGGCTTTGGCGGACGCGGTGGTGGTCCCCCCAACAAGGCCCGTGGTGGTATCCCCGAGTACAAGGGTACCAAGGTCACCTTCTAATTTCACACGATACCTTGACGAACCGTTGTTTTCTTTAATCTCCGTTGAACAGGATTCAGGATTGTTTGTATGATTACGGACGGGTTGTTGCTACTGACTGGCTTTGAGCACTCGAAAAGTTCTTGTGGTTTTGCATGGTTATTGTAATTGGATAGAATGAAATAATGGATGATCGTTATTGATTCATTAAGGAATGTGCTTTCTTCGTGGTAGTTTTTGTCCACATAGCGTCGGCCCTCACGCTGGGAGTAAAGGAGCACGAGGCTTTATTTAGCCTTGGCAAATGCCCTCCACGTCAGGTACCTGACGAGGCTCCCATGGACAGTTCCGGTTATTCTCATCTTTGTTCCTCTTTCCAGGTGTCTTGTCGCTGGTATCTCCATTCGTCGCATTCCTGGTTTTCTTTGGAGACTCACGCTGTGGCTACTTATTCCCTGGTCCTCTACCGATGTCGGGTGAACTGTGAGTGGCTCCCGGTGGTGATCTGCTGATTGAACTTAAACCAGCACGAGGCAGTCAGGTGTCCATGCATCGACATCATTCCTTTCTTGCCCGTCCATTCACCCTACTTACTTCTACTTCTCCCTCGACCAGTCTTCGTCCTCTCTCATCTTCCCTTCCCACATCTCAACCAACCACCTTGACTTGTCCTTTGTCAAGGTCGTGGTTTTGATGAACTACAATCGTAGACTGATTGTGGTGTCCGCGCCTGATAAGATAATCAACCGCAAATAAACTCATCCATCAATCCACTTAACTTGGCTTTCCCCACGCACTTCCCCCCACTTTCATACACTCTACCCCCTTCCTGGGCTTCTGGTCAGTCTACCATTCCTGACCGCTTCGGACGGTTCCCTTACAGCCACAGGTGGTCTGATTATGTGGATGTGATATTGATCGGCAACACCCCGCCTTACCATCCATCTCCTCGACTTTATATTATATTTTTGGGGACCCGTCTTCTTCACCACTTCGTTTCCCCCAATACTTCTGAACGACCAGATACACAACGCGATGCAACCAAACCACTATGACCTGCTAAGTCAGGTGCAACCAGATGAGCCTCGACGGGCGCCACGAGACGCTCATCATCGGAATCCCCTCCAGTCACGTTCTCCATCCGGTGTCGCTCCCACGAGATCCGAAGGTAAGTACTTCATTCTGCGACAAATATATGCCTCCTTCACTTCTTTTGCCCCCTCTCCTGCAACCTCCCTGCACGTACAACATGCATATCGTTACACCCCTCATTCCAGGCATCACCGTTTCTGTTATATCAATATGTACTCACTCCAGTATTACATAGACTCGTGGATCGAGGTCGCCTCGCAGCCCTCCTCCTCGTCGCTTTCCTCTATTGCTACCAATGATGACATCATCACAACCGGTCTGCGTGTCGAGCAACATGGGTCGAGAGCATACCATCATCGTAGTCGGCGACGGCGTCTGCAGCGCCTGGCTGCTGTCACAGCGGCGCAAGTTCATTATTCGTCCCGTGAACAAACCAGTAGTCAAGACGAGTATGAGGAAAGCGAAAGTGAATCGGACCGCGTTATGACAAGTTCCAATGAAGACATACCTCAGAGATCCCTTGGGGGTCCGCTATTGGCTCAGTCTGGGCCTCCGTCGATGTCGGATAGTCCATCAAGTGACGAGGACGATGCGTCAACAGCGCTGGGGATGCGAATAAGCTCATCCCCGTTTGTCCCGCAGCCAAATGTCTTCTCCCACCCGCCAGCATCTGAAAACCCAGCCTGGACCAGGCCAGTTGAGAGGTGTCGTCCGCAACCTAGCGAAGTGTCAAATTCCAGCCGTCAAACGGCCATCCGGCGGAACTCTCAAGCTGGCGTAAGACCAGCTCGCAGGCAATCACAGCAGCATAGCCCATACAATATGATTTCACCGTCTTACCAGGCAGACCATGATGCCGCCCTCCGCTCCAGTCTCTCCACCCTTCTTTCCTGTGCGGCCGTGCACGAGGTCTACCGAAATCTGACCCGCAACCTACCGCACCCTCCGGGCCTTCTCGAGCACAGCCAGCTTCATTCCGACTGGTCTCAGAGTCAGTTGCAATGGGAGAACATATATCTGAAGAAGTGCCCGCATCGGCTGTCGAGACTAATACATCTAGGCGGCCCATAAACCATAACCCACCCATAGCTACTTATTCACCACGCTCTTCTCCCTCCGCTCCGAAGGTGAGACGGCGGTCTAGTTCGCCTAGAGAACGCCACGCCTCGGCACCTAGGAAGAGTCGTCGAGCAACCACCCCAGACTCGGCAGCTAGTCCTACGATTATGACATGGGTTATCAGCGCTGGTGTCGTGGTTCTTTTCTCGGCAATCAGCTTCTCAGCAGGTTATGTGATTGGTCGTGAGGTCGGGAGGATGGAGGCAAGCACAGGGGTCGGGTCCGTCATGGGTGATGGTAATTTTTCTGGTGGCAGACGTCCGCGGCTTGTGGTCAGGAGGCCATCAAGGGAGGCCTGAAGCGGTTCCGATGGAGCTCTGGAGCTGCCGGATCAGGGGTCATTGCATGAACTGCTTCGTATGAGGACGACAAAGATGGACCTAAAAGGTATTATGAGCCGGACGGGCGTTGGTTACGATTTTTCATTGGTATGGTGTGACGAGAACTTTGGTGCAGATATTTCATTCCCACCATTCTTTATGTGTCTCTCTTTTGTTTGGCGTTTCCTATACTATACTTTCCTTAGTCCTTTTGGTGTTGTTTGCATAGCAACCTCTTTTGGCTATATCCAAGTGATGTATGGGCTGTCTGGGATGTCTTGAAAAGTTCCTGACCGAGCTGTTCTTATTACTTGTTGTTGAATCTTTGGCGTTGTGGTCTGTTTGCGTTACAATTTTCTCATGTGTCTTGCAATCTATACCCCCTTTCCCTTCATACCATTTGGACATAATAGTCCTTAGAAATGAATGCAGTTAACTAAAGTCCGTAGCTCCCACCAATGTGACACATTTGGCTATTCCGACGTAAAACTCATTCCTGAGCTTTCAGATTATCTGGTAATGTTAGCCATAGGGGACTGACTTTTTAAAACGGCAAAGTGAAATATGGCAGGGTGTCTTGACGTTCCTTTGGTATAGGAGCGTAAGCATATACGATACATATGAAGCATATTATAATTCCCGGTAAGCAGCTAAGTAGGTATGTAGGTAGCTTTAATAGTCATCTGATTTTAGAAGAATTACTCGGCATGATACAACCACTACCCTTTTCTATACATTTCCACTTTTCAATTTATTCCCGCCGTAAATCACCTCGACAAGGCAATGTCGTCAATTCTCATGATCATCTTAACGGTCTCGGCGGCAAGCTCAATCGCGCTGGTGCTCACCAGGAGAGGTTGCAGGATATTCTCCTCGGTGATATCGTCCTTCACACCGCCACTGCGGATGCTGACACCCGCGTTGTGCTGACCTTGGGCGTGACGGTGGCGCAAGTCGGTAACCACCTTGATCGAGTTGAGACCGGCGTTCTCGGCCAGCGTAGTGGGGATGATTTCCATCGCATCCGCAAAGGCCTTCCAGCAGATAGCCTCTGTGCCAGTGAGTTCACGAGCACGCTTTGCGAGGGCCTGGGCGACTTCGATTTCAGGTGCTCCACCACCGGCAATAAGGGCGCGCTTCTTGACCAGACAGCGGATGACACAGAGGGCGTCGTGCAGGGAACGCTCCGCCTCATCCAGGATGAGGTTGTTGGCACCGCGAGCGACGATCGACACGGTTTGGTTGGTGGTAGGGGCTGACTTGATGCCGGTGATCTTCACATAACGGGCTCCAGAGGACTGAACCTCTTCCACGAGGTCTGCAGTGCCCAGCTTGTCCTCAGTGAAAGAGTCAACGTTGGCGACGGGCTTGCAGCCAAGACTCTTGCACAGGAACTCAACTTCATCACGCTCGATATCCTTGATGGCAAGGATCTTGAGACGAGAGAGGAAGTGGAGGGAGAGGTCGTTCACGGCATCACGGAGAATGGATTTCTGAATGAGGAGGACGTTACACTTCGTCTTCTGGATCTTCTTAACCATGTTGAGAAGGTACTGACGCTCCTCCTTGAGGATCTTGTCCATCTGGCGGTAGTCGTTCACGACAATCTGGTTTTCCATCTGCATTTCATCTCTGTCAGCAATGCATACAACATACAACATTTTGAAGAGAATCAACCCACATCAGGCTTAGGCGGGCTAAGCTGGAATTGGATCAGACCTATCCGGGCCTTCTCGATTCTTGTGGGACCGCCACTGCTCTTGATAACGGACTGGTTCAACACCAAGCCATCAACCATCTCACTGTCTTCAATCGTGCCGCCAACCTTCTTGACGATCCGGATATTCCTAAGGTCAACATTCTCAGCAGTCTTAGGATCTACGACCTTCAGCACCGAGTCGACGGCCATAGGGCCAAGGAGGCCGGAGTGCTGCGAGACGATCTTCGATGAAAGAGACGTAGAGGCCGCCTGGAGGAGGGTGGAACGGTCGACCAGGCTAATCGGGCGGGACATGTTGTGAAGGATCTCGACGGCTGCGGCTGCGGCTCTTTGGAACGACTCTGAGATGACGGTGGGGTGAATGCCCTTGGACAAGAGACGGTCTGCGGCACCCAGCAAGCTTCCTGCGATTACAACAACCGACGTTGTTCCATCTCCAGCCTCAACATCCTGAGCGGCACTCAGGTCAACAAGCATCCGGGCTGCGGGATGCATAACGCTCATATCCTTCAACATAGTGTTTCCATCGTTGGTCTGCGGGGGTTAGCATATATTTGCAGGCTCGGCAGTAGGATTCGTACGATAATCGTGTTGCCCTTGGGTGTTTGGATCTAGAATCGTATTAGCCACACATCCTTAGAGAGAAAGACATAACGGAAGTCGTACCATCTTATCCATTCCTCTGGGTCCCAAAGACTGATTGATATGTTAGCCCCTCATTTGGAATGCATACTATTCCAACATCCATACCGTTCTGATGGCATCGGCGACAGCTGTTTTCATGTCAGCATCATACTCTCCAGATTTTAACACCATGATCAATACCTCTAGCGGCCAGAATGTTGGCCGTCCGCACTGCCATAGGCTTCTCCTTGTCCTGCCCGACTATTAGAACCCGTCCCACGCCAAGTATTTCTCTCTGCGACACGGACGCACCTTGAAGGTGTTGTTGCCAGCGGCCCCCTGAGAGACTGCCGTAGCCATTTTGAAAATTGTCTCTTATCCAAACACCGTACCGAAAATGGAATATAAGAGGAGCGATGGGGGGTAATGTGACGAAGGAGATCCAGACCGTGGAGGCGGCTCTGGGAATTTCTTGTGCTGGTGTTGGGCTTGGCACCACTAGCGCCAACAGCTCGAACCGACCGCCGCAGCAACCTTGGAGCTCACACCTGATTACTTCACTCTCTCTCCTCCTTCCGATCAAGCTCTCATCTCCCATCTATCGTATTATTTTTCTATTATCCCTTCACGCTAACTTCACGTATACCACCGGCTCTTGATCTCTTACGCCCCGTTCCCTTAAAAGTCGATACACCCTCCACTGTCTTATCGCCTCCATAACCACTACCTCTCACCATGCCTAGCGCCACGGGAGAGAACTGGGAGAAGTACAAGAAGAACTTCGCCGATGATGACGAGCCGGAGAAGAAGATCACCCCTCTCACAGAATCGTAAGTGATCCGATGGCTCCATTCAGATGGTGGTTTGGTTTCCGGGGACAGATGGCTAAACATCTCTAGTGATATCCAAGTGCTGAAGACATATGGCGCCGCTCCCTACGCGAACGCCTTAAAGCAACTCGAGAAGCAGATTAAAGACAAGCAAGCAAGCGTAAACGAGAAGATTGGTGTCAAGGTATTTCGACCGAACTGTATCGGCGTGAACATGCGTACCTGACATGTATAGGAATCCGACACTGGTCTTGCACCTCCACACCTTTGGGATGTTGCTGCAGATAGGCAACGCATGGCAGAAGAGCAACCGTTGCAGGTAGCCCGCTGTACGAAGATTATTCAAGATGAGAAGGACTCGGACAAGAGCAAATATGTCATCAATGTTAAGCAAATCGCCAAGTTCGTTGTCAACCTAGGGGAGCGAGTGAGCCCTACGGATATTGAGGAGGGCATGCGGGTTGGGTAAGCTTTTCGACATTTCTATTCCCCGTTCTGGATCTAACTCTGTATCTAGTGTCGACCGGAATAAGTACCAGATTATGTTGCCTCTGCCTCCCAAGATCGACCCTAGCGTAACAATGATGACCGTTGAAGATAAACCCGATGTGACATACGGAGATGTTGGTGGTTGCAAAGAACAGATCGAGAAGTTGCGAGAAGTCGTCGAGATGCCCCTCCTTTCCCCAGAGCGTTTTGTCAACCTTGGTATCGATCCACCCAAGGGTGCACTTTTGTACGGACCTCCCGGTACTGGTAAGACTCTTTGCGCTCGAGCTGTGGCCAACCGAACCGATGCGACTTTCATTCGTGTCATTGGTAGCGAGCTGGTTCAGAAGTATGTCGGTGAAGGTGCCCGGATGGTTCGAGAGCTTTTCGAGATGGCAAGGACAAAGAAGGCGTGCATTATTTTCTTCGATGAAATCGATGCCGTGGGTGGTGCACGTTTCGACGATGGAGCTGGCGGCGACAACGAAGTCCAGCGTACTATGTTGGAACTGATCACTCAACTCGATGGTTTCGATGCTCGTGGTAATATCAAGGTCATGTTCGCAACCAACCGGCCGTCGACGCTAGATCCTGCCCTGATGCGTCCTGGACGAATTGATCGCAAGATCGAGTTCTCGCTTCCGGATGTAGAGGGTCGTGCTAACATTCTTCGAATTCACGCCAAGAGCATGTCGGTTGAGAGGGATATTCGGTGGGAGTTGATCTCTCGACTGTGCCCGAATGCTACAGGAGCTGAGCTCCGGAGTGTTGCAACAGAAGCCGGTATGTTCGCGATCCGGGCGCGACGAAAGGTTGCCACGGAGAAGGACTTCTTGGCGGCTGTGGATAAGGTGATCAAGGGCAACCTGAAGTTCAACTCGACGGCTACGTACATGCAGTATAATTAGATAACGCCTTCCTTCCCTCTACACCTTGGGTTACATTGCATGGTTGAATGGTTGTGTATGATCAATTTTTTTTTTAAAGCTAGTGGTTCATTCTACGAAAGTTCTCATAATAGGGACTCGCATATAGATGTGATCCGAGCTTCACTAACCAGCGAAAGCGAAGAGTAGCGGGTGGTCGTATATCCCTGCTGGCGTTCTTGCCGTCAGCGGAATATCACATGACTGTACCGGGTAATAGATTATCTCAGCAAGGGATAAGTCAATTGTGTCATTTAGATAGTAACTCGATCTAGTACATCAGAAGAAACATGCCGTAGGTGTCCCGCCAACCTAAAAGGTTGAGAAAGGCAATAGAAATTGAAAGCTTCCCCATCCAAGTTAGGGCCAGCTACTCTCCATTGTACCGTCCGTCTCCGGGATTCTTCGCTGCTGCCGGGTTAAAAGAAGACCGGCCACGTGCCTTGAGATCCTCGACCAATGAGAAAATGCCGGCTGCCCGAGGTGATTACCACTGCGTGTATTCTTATTGGCAGTCTCGGCCCCGGTCCTCCCCGTCGGCAAGTGAGAAAAGGCTTATGTCAGCCAGGAATTCGGCCCAGCAGAACCGACGATCCAAAAGTGCAGCTTTGCGAGCACCACCACCACCGTTGACTTCAAGACTCTCCTCTCCCTATCTTTGTGTTGCTTCCTTCTCCCCCCTCCCCCCTTCTTAATTACACCCTTTCTTCGGCTCATTAGAGAAGTGTTTCTTTTCTTTTGATCCGTCATCATGAGCTCCCTGAGCTTGCGGAGCCTAGCTCCCGCATCCAAGGTCAGTTAGCCGACGGTCTCTTCAGGACCCTTAAGCGCAATCGTCCCTCTGTTTACATATACTGACATAGCGGATTGCGCAGATTTCCCGTGCCTTGAGGGATCAGAGACGTCTTTTCTCCTCGACCCGGCCCGCAGGTACGCATTGGAGGTCGCGAAAACTGTCTCTGCCTTCGTTTACTAACTCGTCCCTCCGCAAGCCCGGATTTTTGGCAGCAACCCATTGCGCGCTAGGGAAGCCACTGGCGCTATCGCTGAGAAGTACCCAATCATTGTAAGTCTATACAATACGACAAGATCAATTGATCTAGGGCCCTGACTGTTTTGACAGGACCACGAGTACGATGCTGTCGTCGTCGGTGCTGGAGGTGCTGGTCTTCGTGCCGCCTTCGGTCTGGCGGAAGCCGGTTTCAACACTGCATGTGTCTCCAAGCTCTTCCCTACAAGAAGTCACACTGTTGCTGCCCAGGGCGGTATCAACGCTGCTCTTGGAAAGTAGGTCATCCCTTGGTGAGCGTGTCAATGCTGCAGTTGCGCTAAATTTATACACTACAGCATGCACGAGGACGACTGGAGATGGCACATGTACGACACTGTGAAGGGTTCTGACTGGCTCGGAGACCAGGATGCCATTCACTACATGACCAGAGAAGCCCCCGCTAGTGTTCGTGAGCTCGAGGGCTACGGATGCCCCTTCTCTCGTACCGAGGACGGCCGTATCTACCAGCGTGCCTTCGGTGGTCAGTCCAAGGAGTTTGGAAAGGGCGGCCAGGCCTACCGTTGCTGTGCTGCCGCTGATCGTACTGGTCATGCTCTTCTTCACACTCTTTACGGACAGTCTCTGCGTCACAACACCAACTACTTCATCGAATACTTCGCCCTTGACCTGCTGATGGAGGATGGCGAGTGCCGCGGTATCATTGCTTACAACCAGGAGGATGGTACTCTGCACCGTTTCAAGGCCCACCACACCGTCCTGGCCACTGGTGGTTACGGACGTGCCTACTTCAGCTGCACTTCCGCCCACACTTGCACTGGTGACGGTATGGCCATGGTTGCCCGTGCTGGTCTTCCCAACCAGGATCTTGAATTCGTTCAGTTCCACCCCACAGGTATCTACGGCGCTGGATGTCTGATCACTGAGGGTTCTCGTGGTGAGGGTGGTTACCTGCTCAACTCCGAGGGTGAGCGTTTCATGGAGCGTTACGCTCCTACCGCCAAGGATCTGGCGTCTCGTGATGTCGTTTCTCGTTCTATGACCTTGGAAATCCGCGAGGGCCGTGGTGTTGGTCCTGAGAAGGATCACATCTACCTTCAGCTGAGCCACTTGCCCGCTGAGCTCTTGCACGAGCGTCTGCCCGGTATCTCCGAGACTGCTTCCATTTTCGCTGGTGTCGACGTGACCAAGCAGCCTATCCCCGTCTTGCCCACCGTCCACTACAACATGGGTGGTATCCCCACCAAGTACACCGGTGAAGTCCTGACCCAGGATGAGAACGGTGCCGACAAGGTTGTTCCTGGTCTGTACGCTTGCGGTGAAGCTGCTTGTGTGTCTGTCCACGGTGCCAACCGTCTTGGTGCCAACTCTCTTCTGGATCTGGTCGTTTTCGGCCGTGCCGTTTCTCACCGTGTCCGTGACATTGCCACCCCCGGCAAGCCACACCGTGAGCTGAGCTCCGACGCTGGTGCTCAGTCCATCAAGGATCTCGACTTCGCTCGTACTGCCGACGGCCCCAAGTCCACTTTCGATATCCGTAACGCTATGCAGAAGGCCATGCAGACTGACGTCAGCGTCTTCCGTACTCAGGAGAGTCTGGATGAGGGTGTCGCCAAGGTCACTGAGATCGACCAGCTGTACGACCAGGTCGGTACCAAGGACCGCAGCATGATCTGGAACTCTGACCTCGTGGAAACTCTTGAGCTCCGCAACCTTTTGACCTGCGCGTATGTATCACCCTGAAAAGCTTTGGCGACCAATATAGCTGACCACAGATGATATAGTACCCAAACCGCTGTTGCCGCCGCTAACCGTAAGGAGTCTCGTGGTGCTCACGCCCGTGAGGACTACCCCGAACGTGATGACGAGAACTGGATGAAGCACACTCTCACATGGCAGAAGAACCCTCACGGCAAGATCGACCTGGGCTACCGGGCCGTCGAGCACAACACCCTGGACGAGAAGGAGTGCAAGCCGGTGCCACCCTTCAAGCGTGTCTACTAAGCGTGTCACGCCAAGTGTGATCCGATGAAGAGGTGTATTTAGAGGGGTTGTGTGAGTGGAGGAAAAATAGCGTCACGAAAATCTGGCAGTGTTTATTTCCCGTGTGTTTATATGTGTATATCCAATTTCCCAGGCGATGAGTTCGGTGTACTCACGTTGTATTGTTATTTTATAGCCCTTTATTACCGATCATACAATTGGAGTTTTCTTTTGTGTTGCAAAGCTGTTTTGAACCGAGATAGTAGTCTAACTCCAGTCTTTCTTTAAATGCCTCTGGGTCGATTAGGGTTGGCTCAATACCGTGACTTCCCACGTATTCATCAAGGTTTTTAGGTTAAGGGGGCTCTCTTTCTTGACTTTCGAACTCCCCATATTGTGGGTTTGATTCAACAACACGCTCAGGAGAGCATTCGATTGATCAATTGATTGTCATGGGGATCTCACGCCGGTTTCTTTATCAGGCCTTGAACAAAGAACTGAGGAAACAGCCACACCCATATCTGGCTTAGAACTGAACGCTGACCAGGTATCTTCCGGAATGCACAAAAAAGCAAAAGACGTTCCACTCCCGTCCTCAACAGTTCGTACTGCCGGGTGAAACAAAGTCTTTACAGGCCAAATGAACAGACGGGTCGATCCTGTTTTATCTGATTCAGGAACTATGGTTCTACCAAGAGCCACCATATCAGCCATTTCTCAACACCCCCAAACGGGAACAGCATCTGTGTCTGGGAATTGAGCGTTGTGGACGGTCAGGTTTCTTGCCTGTCCTACACATCTATGCCGAGGCCATGCATGGATAGTAATCACATTGGACCACATGGGGGTGCCAAGTCGCATAGCAAACAAAGGCGCAGAATCCTGCCCACTACGCACAACGTCTAGCCTTGTTAGTCTAGATAGTGTGGATATTATGGGTGCACATTGAGTGACAGTGATCATAGGGGGCTCATCTCTTTTCGTGTCCGGGTTTTGAATAATAGACACTCGGTGCTCCCTGAAAGGCGAGTCAGACGACTCGCCTTAAGAAGTTCTTATTACGTCCGTTCTCTTATGTGTTATTTGGGTTTGGAAACCTTACAGACATATATCGCTTGCTTATATATGGTCTTTATTCCATCCTCACTATGAGCCACCAGTGCTCCGATAACAGGCAGTACTATTCCTGTTTTAAAGGCCCTTTCCAGGGATGTTGCTCTGTCGACCCATGTTCTAAGGGAGTCTGTCCGGACGACATTGCTTTGATAGCCGCCGATACCATGACGTCTACAGAGGTTCATACCGTGACACCTACAAAGTCCGTCTCTTCGAAACAGTCCACCTTTGAGACCAGCACAACTACGACTAGTCGTCTTGAGACCACCAGCACTCCCGGAACCACAACCGCTTCCACAACCAGCACATCAGAAACCGGTACCGGTACGAGCGCTGCCGACAATGCCAATGCTGATGCAGAAACCGGCCATGGAACGCCCGTTGGGGCTATCGTAGGAGGAGTGATCGGTGGCATCGCATTTCTCATACTCCTTGCTATTGCCTTGTTTTTCGCCTATTGCAGGCGCAAGAAGCATGTAAGGCGTTTCACCTTTCTTCGCGGTCCTCTCACTGATATCTTTAAGGAGATGACATTTGAAACCGATAAAAAACCACCACAGAGTGACTCAACAACTACAGAACAAGTCCTACACGGTACGCAAACAAAACCTCTTGCTATCACTCTACGCCTGGCATCCATACACGGCAAACTAACCAACACCCACCAGCACCGACGAAAAAAGAGAAAGCAGAAACAAGCTCCCTCCTCACCCCAACAGACTACTCCACCAACGAAACCACGCCCATCTCACCAACCCCCACCGCAGCCGAACTAGACGCATTCCACCTCTACCCTCCCCAGACCCCCTACACCTTATTCACTCACCCGAATGCATCAATTCCCGAGCTGAGCGGCACGGGAGTCCACAGCCCCCGCGCCGAACTAGCAGCCCAGCCCAGCCGAGAACTCATAAACATCCCACATCATCAACGCCAGCCCTCAAATCAGTCGAGCTCATCGCAGGGACCGACACGCGCCGAATTGGCGGCTCAACCTTGCAGGGAGTTGATCAATGTTCCACACCACCGGCGTCAGCATCCTGCTACACTCCCGACATCATCCCGGGAACAGGTAGACGAGACTATGACACGCGCAAACTCGCCTCCGGTTATCACCGCCGATGGCGTAGTCCTGTCTGCGAACTTTGATACTTCTGCTTCTGGGTCGGATGTTCTCTCCTCTCATGGCTTGTCCAGTTCCCATGCGATGAGTTTTATGGATTATGACACTGCAAGGAAGTCGATGTTATCGGCACATCGGCCGGAGTGGGCGGATAGTCCTGGAGAAGGGAAGACTGACAAGCCGAAAGGAGGAAAACATATGAAAGGGCCCGAATGATATTAATAGTACTGAAAATGATGATCGGGCGATCTTGACGACCGGAAGGGAAGTGGATCGAGGTCGGAATTGGATTCATTATGGGATGTTTTACCTTCTCTACTAACTTTTCACTGTCTCCGTCTAGTTCCCATTGTGTATCGCGGAGTATGTTTTCTTGTACTTTAGGGTGTTTAACTTTGCGGGGTTCATCTCAGCATGAACTCTGTTGTTCCATCAATATTTCTTTCGCTTACTACATGGCCTTGGAGAATATCTCATTCTTTCCCCTCTCGATATTCAGCTCGCCACTCATCAGTACTCTCAATTTCGCTCTATAGCCGGCCTCGCCCTAGGAACTGATTGCCTTTTGCAGGCTATTCGTCCTTCTCGCTGCCTCGTCAGTCCGTCGCCTGCGGCTAAACCCGGATCTACTCTGGAACTAAAAGTCCCTCGCATGATGCACTAACATTGGCGCTCATTCCTTGTGGGGCTGGAATGAACACAGCACGAAGGTTAATGGATGAAACAGTCCCCAAGAATTCACGGATATGAAAGTCCGGGTTGCTTTGTCTAGGTCAGTTACAAAGCACGTAGCAAGGATATACATCTCCCCACATGGCTGCCTGACGAATGGTAATGCTCGCAAGAGGCTGAATACAGCTAAGCCACTCCAACCAAGCATCTCCGTTACAGGAGCTTCCGGCCAATGCCTTCGTTGAAGATGTGTCATTGAAACAAGGGTTTTGTTGACCGCTGTAAATCTGTGTGCGGGGTCGGGAAAGACGACACGAAGGTACTTTCTGAAAAATTGGAGATACCTTTTTTCTTCTGGTTGGTGAAACGAGGCGAATCTGCAGGGCTACAATCAAATTCCGATTGGTAGAAGGATTTCGGGGTGCTGCGGTCTGCAAAGGCAGGAAGCATATAGATAAGGCTTCCTGACCACAGGAGCAGGAAATCGCTCATCAATTGATCATTGCTCCAGTTTCGAAAAAAGATAAACGCCTCCAGGAATATCAGGAAGGATGCTGGACGGTTTCGAACCTGTTGTGAGGTTTCTTGCACAGTACCAAGGTGATGACTATGTGAAAGGATGGGCCAAACTGTGGGATAAGGGCGACTGCCTTGACTGGGATAAAGGGTTTCCCAACCCAGCATTAGAAGATACACTTATCCAGCGCCGCTTGATTATCGGTGATCCTCTACTCGAGGATGCTGAGGGAAACCAGTATAGGCGAAAGGCACTGGTTCCTGGATGTGGTCGAGGCGTGGATGTCCTCCTTCTGGCCAGCTTTGGCTATGACGCCTATGGCCTGGAGTATAGTCATTCTGCTGTCGAGACCTGCAAGAAGGAGGCATCCGAAACAGGCGGCAGATATCCTATCAGAAATCCAGAATTCGGAAGAGGCAGCGTCACATTTGTGCAGGGCGACTTCTTCGGTGATGCTTGGTTGGATGCCCTGGGTCTACAGCGATATGCCTTTGATCTGGTGTATGATCACTCGGTAAGTAGGCCCTTCCGGCTATTAGTTTGTACAGTGTCTTTATTAGAAGCGTGATTAGGGATCAAGTGTGCTCACTCTGCGTTTGGCAGTTTTTCTGTGCCCTGAATCCATCGCTCCGCCCCAGATGGGCTCTGAGACAAACTCAGCTTCTTGTCCGCGACGGCCATCTAGTCTGCCTCGAATATCCAAGGCACAGGGATCCCTCGGAAATGGGACCACCGTGGACTGCATCATCGGAAGATTACTGGAAGCACCTGACGCAGCCAGGAGAGGCTGGAGTCAGCTCCAAGGACACCCCGAATGACAACGGGCTTATACGGGTAGCACATTGGCAGCCGGACCGCACACACGAGAACGGAAAGGATGCCAGTGGTAATATTCAGGATCGCGTTGCCATTTGGTGTCGGCGCGACAAGGCTAGGGAAACGGTTTGCAAAGATTGCTGAGGCTAAGCCGCGGTGCTGCTGCCAAAACTCCAAGAAAAGATTGAAAATGTTGTATATGTATTAAAATATGTATATACCAGATATCATCTCGCTACTTTTTTTATATGACCCGAAATTGTGTATGACTGCGCACTCACAGTAGGCTCCTCAGAACCGAGGTCTGCTCCAAGACAGCCCGCCGACTGGTGCCGCCGACAGCATCCTTCAGCTCCACTGCACGCTCATAATCCAGACAGGCGTTCACATCGTCATCGAAGCGAGCATCAACTGTCTTCAGTTGCTCGAGGGAAAGTGTATCCATGGGCACGCTGGTCTTCTCCGCCAGGGCAACAACGCGGCCAGAGATGTGGTGGCCCTCACGGAATGGGACGCCTTTGCGAACCAGGTAGTCGGCAATTTCGGTAGCGAGCATTTCCGGGGCCAAGGCAGCCGTCATCTTCTCGGGAATAACGGTAAGAGTCGAGAGCACTCCAGTGGCGATCTGGATGCTGTCGCTGACAGTCTTGATGTGATCAAGAAGGGGTTCAATGCTCTCCTGCAAATCCTTGTTGTAGGTAGTGGGAAGACCCTTGATCGTCATCATCAGACCGGCCATTTGACCAAAGGCTCGGCCGGCCTTTCCGCGCAGAAGCTCCAGGCTGTCTGGTTTTTGTTAGTGATCATTCTATTTGATGAGACATGAGGAACAAAGGGTATTAGACTCACCTGCATTCTTCTTCTGAGGCATCAACGATGAACCGGTGGAGTAAGCATCGGACAAGCGGACAAAGCCGAATTCCAAGCTGCTGTAGATGATCAGATCCTCGGCCCAGCGAGAGATCTTGAGCATGAATGAGCTACCCCACTGCATTGTCTCCATGGCGAAGTCACGGTCGGCGACAGTGTTCATCGAGTTGTACAGCAGACCTTCGAAGCCCAGCTCCTTGGCCATTGCCTCACGGTCGATGTTGAAAGGGTTGCCTGCAAGGGCACCGGTACCAAGGGGGCTGCGGTTGACACGCTTGGTGACTTCACGCAGGCGCTGCAGCTCGCTGGCAAAAGCCGTGGCGTGCGACAAAATCCAGTGGCTCCATCGGACTGGCTGGGCCTTTTGCAAATGGGTATAACCTGGCATGAGGTAGTCGAGCTCAGCCTCTGCACGAGAAATTGAGACCTTGATGAGGTCGCACAGGATGCTGTCTAGCCTGCGCAGCTCATCCCGCAACCACAACCGCATGTCAGTCGCAACTTGTTCGTTGCGGGAGCGACCGGTGTGCAGCTTGCCTCCAATCTCCTTGCCAATGATTTCTGATAGTCGACGCTCATTTGCAGTGTGGATATCTTCATCGTTCTCCTTGACGGCGAAGGTATTGGTGCTCCATTCCTCGGCGATCTGCTTGAAGCCACGCTCGATCTCGGAGAACTCTTGCTCCGTGAGGATACCGGTCTTCACGTTGGCTCGGGCAAAAGCAATGGAGCCGGCAATGTCTTGTTTCCAAAAGATGCGGTCATAGGGAAGGGACTGGTTGTATTGAACCATGAGGGGGTCGAGGCCCTCTGATGACACTCGGCATTAGTATCTCAAACTAAAAGTACAGTGGACAGGTTAATAGGAGACGGGGTGTACTCACGGGTGAATCGACCTCCCCAGAGCATATTCTCAGCGACAGCTTTAGGACCGCTCATTTTGTATCTTGGTGACAGAAGGTTGGGGAAAATTGAAAGAAGGAAAGAAGCAATTGATGGAAACGGGACTTTATCTCGGGAGTTCCTTTAGACGATGATTCATCCAATGATTCACAGCGGGGTTGCGACATCGGGGACCTAGCCCGTATCTGGTAAAGTGTATGGGCTATACCCAAAGAGGAAGGTAGGCGTCGAGTCATCCTTGTTTGAGGGCCAACAAGAGTCTCATGAGCAAACATTCTTGAAAAGAGCATATAATACCTGTCGCAGATGGTATAAAAAACAGTGAAGTTATGATGCTACTATATTGGTCCACTCCGACTCACACATATACCTTTCAAGGAAAAGAAGTGTCAATATCTCTACATACTGATAGATATGATCTCGCTACTGTGTATATATATTTTCGCTACATGCTGCGGCCCCCCATCGAACCACCACCTGTCAGTGCATCTAGCTTCATAACATGGAATCTAACACAAAAGACATTATCTATACAAGAAATATGTTGTTCTCGCCACTAGTACAGGCTACACACTGCCCTACCGATGCCCAATCTACATATCGTATTCAACTACAGTCCACGTACATGTCCATCCAATATCACCACCCAGCTTTTCCATCACTCGACGACTAGCGATATTGCTTTCCAACACATTGGCGTGGACCCAAGCCTCACCAGCCTCTCCGTAGTTTCGCCAGATGCCACCCTCGGCCATCCCTTGTCGCATAGCTTCCTTGGAGACATGTGAGGCAAGTCCCTGGCCCCGGTACTCTGGTTCAACATGCAGGGTTGCCAAGCTGCCATCAGTACCCAGAAAGGCCCACGCGATGGGCATTTCTCCGAGTGGAGCCCGGTTCGGTGAGCTTTCAGCTGCATCTGAGCTGTCAGACAAATGTGGCTGGAGCTGAGTCTTACGATCGGAGTAAATAGCCACTCCCGGGAGCTTGGTTAAGGTTCCACGTGAACGTGGAACATTGGTGCGAAACCGTATCAGGTCGTACTGATGTGGTTGTACCCCGATTCGGCCTTCCCTGTCGGGGAAGCGAAAGCCATCTGGAAGTGGGGCTGGGGCGCTGTCAGGGCTGTCAAAGCTGTCAGAGCTATCTATGACAGAATTTTGGCCCCTAAATAGGTACTTGACATATGGAGGATTATCGAAGCGGTGAACCCGAAGGCCTGGGACAGGCTCCGAATGAGTATAATCCCCCGAGGCACTTAGTAAGGAAAATAGTCCCGTATGTAGATTGCCAATTAGGAAAGCCTGAGGGGGCGGCGCAGGGATCAAACCCGAGTGTTTGGAAGCGGGATCCTGGCCCAGATTGTTGGGAATAGGGGAAGATCGGGTAGATTGGATAGATGACAAATACTCTGGTAGCAGGTATGTCTTGACATGGGATAGTAGAGCTAATAGTTGTGCACGAGCCAGCTCCAGAGACTGGCTGGAATCTCGCAGAATAGAGACAAATTGGCATTCACCGACAGGAGACGTCGCCTGGGCTTCGAGGCTCGAGTAGATCACGATCTGTGTTTCGCGACCAGCGAAGAGATCCACATATGCAGCCAGCCACGGAGAGGTTGGCGCATCTGCCCCTGAGAACGTCGTCAGAATCTTAGCAGTAGATGAAGGATACGCTAGACCATGCTGGAGGCGCCGTAGCAACGGAATCGAATAAGGTAACTGGGCCTTCAGCAAAGGAATTAGCGCGTGCGGATCATAATCGACGATAGGAGACGCCGATGAAAGCCTTGAGGGATCCATCAGAGGCATATGACAGCGGAGATATTATTAGCTTCAGGGAACTGTATTTCCGGGCGAAGCGAGAGGCTCCATGCTTCAAACCGTCCAAGCTCCTGACCGGAGTGCCCGTTGATCATTATAAACCGCATCGTAAGCGATTGCGCGAAGGAATGAGTCAAACTATTCATGTTAGTGATCTTACTTCAAGTGGTATAGTGAGGGAGGGAGTATTTGTCATGGCAGCTAAGATCATCAACTTGACAGCACCCCATGCCGAAAGCGGGAAGGCGTGGTTCCGGAGCTCCCGTCCTGTCGGTGAGACCGACTTGTGGCGGTGCGCACCACTGACACTGCTGTGTATTTGATCTTCGCGTTCGTCTCTTTTCTTTAATCCCGGCTTAGTCTCGCGTTTTATTCCTTTCTATTAATTGGACGCTAACCGAGAAATGATGGATACCCCGTTGACACGTCAAATGTCAACTATAAGAGATTGATTCATCTAAGGCTTTACCGATATAAGGGCATTGTTGGGAAGATTTCCAATGCGCTAATGCATGTGTTTTTGGCCATGTGCCCCAACCTTCCGCGGATTCATGCTGAGAACAATCTAGAAAACCATCCATACAGGTTGGTGCATATGATAGATCATTTTCTTTCTTTATTAAAAATATTTTTTTTTTCTGAAAATTTTATCCAAACCCACCCTGGTCAGTCTCATCTACGAAGTACAGAGGATCCCGAGGTTTCAGGATCCGAAGCGGCGCTAAAATGCAATCAATATAAATTAAATTCGCACGCTAAAAATAAGCCCGATTTTAGGCTGGTAATCAACACCAAAAAAGAAAAACGAAAAAAAAAGAAAGAAAAATGGAAAATGGACAAAGGTGATGATATGACCAAAGAAATTAAATGAAGGAATGACAAATATCATCAGGTTCATAGCTCGTCGCTTCATCAGACCGGTTCACCATGGACTTCGCGATCCTACCATCCAATCTTCCATTGCTAGCCACTCACTCCACCGTGATTCGGCGATTCGTAGTTCCTCCTCAGTAGCTTCACGAAGGGGCCGGAGAAATGGTGTTTGTTCGTCGGGAAGCATGTCATATGCCGCTTTGGTCGATGTCCACCCTCCACTCTTGGCAGTAAACAAGTAATTGATCCGCTCCTGTTTGCAAACACACCCGACTCCCGCCTGCCAGTCATTGCCAAAAAATGCCTGCAAGATTGATGGAGTATCATATCCAGTCACGATGAGACGTCGGATAAATGACCTCAATGAAGGAGCATTATTGGTTCCTTCCACTCCGGGGTCTATGTTTTGGGGTGTTGGAAGCCCGTTGACTGGCGCGGCGGATCGCTGATATGGAAGCCGAATGTTGATAAAAGCGGCCAATGATTGCACCTGAGGCGAGTGTTGTCCTTGGCTGAGAAAATGTTGCATGCAAGCCCAGTACCGGGGGTACCATTCATTGAGATCCACTTGAGAGAATTCCGCATCCACAGGGGGTTCTTCCGTGGGGGTGAGCATCCTCTGATTTGGGCTCACATCGTATCCATAAGGACTTTCGGAGACACAGACGGCAGGTGCTTGCCCAAGTCTATTGCATTCGGAATCCAGATCGATCGATTCTGCCAGGGAACCAGATCTTAGAGAAAGTCCATCATGAGAGTCGCGCAAGCCATTGGGGTGTTTCTTACTAGGGGAATGATAAGCGATAGATGCCAGGGGAGAGGACTCGTGTATTTCCATACATGGAGAACTTTCCCAGCATTCTCTTCCAGAACCCTGAACGTCCATTGTTATGGCTGGCTTGAAGCATGTACGGCAATGGGCAGAAGTTTGAAGTATAAGACAGGAGAGGCCGAAGCGCAATGAAAGACAAAGTCAATTGAGTGTTAATAGTTATATTCAAACTGTAGTCTGGGGTATCTGGACAAGACAGCAAGGGAGAGAGGAAACGGTAGAATTTATGTTTCTTTCACGATGGATCGTCCATGTCGGCCAAAGGGAGAAGCACGGGCACCCCGAAAGACAAATTCGGCAGATATGGAGAAGATAGAGTAAAGAACGACCCAAAATGGGTTCATCTGTGGTATGAACATGGTCGCCATAAGCTTTAGCCCTGGCAGAGTGGAGCTCATATTGAGGATCTGAGGCTATCCCCATCGTGCTATTGGAAAAAATGGGTCAAGCCACATATGACTCTAGCCACATAAGTCAAGCCACACCAGCCCTATTACGTGGCTGAGTCGGTCTGGACGTGGCTGTGCTCTCCTAGCTCTCCTAGTCTTCACCGAGGCGGAGCCCCCTACCTGGCCCTAAGACGCTAAGACCTCACCAACATACCAATCCCTAGTGCTTTAGTCTCGATAGTCTTACTCCATGTAGTAAGCGGATCAATGCGAGCATTGCGGTTGGCGATTAGTTATCGCTAGACTAATTGATTATTGAGCCCTCTGAACCCGGCGACCTGGAAACCCCGATGCACTAAGGAAAAAGATTTGGAAGAGTTTTCTAACTAGTGAGGGTTGATCCTTGTCGGCTCATCAACAATAGCTCAGCAGCCTCAGCTAGTCAGGTCCAGGACAATGGTTACTAGGGCGTCGTTACGAATGACATTGACGGTTGACAATGGGACTCCATCCATGCGAGGTACGGGACCAACGCTCCTACCCAATGTGGGATCAAGCGAACCGGAGCTCCTTGAGTGTCAATGTCAATGTCAATAGTGGATGCCACACGGCCTGGAGCAGATGTGACAGCTCCCTTGTGGACATCCTCTGTTGTGCTGCAGCGGTCAGGAGTCGCTTGCTGTCGTGTCACCAACACATACCTGCATCTCCACACATGGTGTCCGGGTCGCACCCTACATTTGGGGTAACACAGGAGGTGATAGCGCGTGGGCACTCCCTGATTTTCATATTTTGCTTGAGGAACAGCGTCTTGTACAACGTGGTGAGGGTGAACATGACCTCACTGGACGCAAGGGCGAGATTCAGTGAGAAGCGAAATGGAGTATGTCGGCCTGTCGATCCAGGCGGCCCTCCATTCGTGTCGGGGCAAGTCTAACCCGATTAGTATACCACTACTATTGATGACCATGTCAAGTGACTAACGAGAATGAGCTTAGCTGTTCAAGAGGGGGCTCCCGATATAGTTTAGACCCAATTCAGGGACAGAAGTCTGTGTACCTGACGGGTGGGTCGACCGAATGCACCCGAGATTTGTGAGTGGCTGATCACAAGCACCCCGGTTCCCTGGGTTCAGCACGCCTAACATGCTTTGTAGATACGAGGGTCGGCTAAGGCCGCTACCTACTAAGGAACCTAACAACCAAGTGAGTAATTGATTGCGAATGAGTTGTATCACTCCCGGCCATGATTGGTTCCCGCCCCTTGTAGGTGGATCCACTCCCCTCATTTTCATTAGCTATCTCGTGAACTGGCTAATGCACCTTTCATGATGAGATCATGACTTTTAATTTTCTTGATCTAATTTTCTAAATTCAAATCATTTTAGGCGATTTGACCCATCATGAGGCTTGAGCACGCGAATTCAGGATCGGAGATGGCGCTAATCAGGGAAAAAAAGAAATTTGTCGAATTGAAATTAGTAGTCTAGCCATGTCTATCGATCATCGGTGGATTCATGCACTCCATCAATCCCCACCCTTGTCAGTGTGTGGCTGACTGCCTCCACGATTGCATTGCTCGTTATAAAGACTTCAAGGCTTCTCTCTTTGTTACCCATCACACTCGTCTCAAAAGCTAAATCAACTCTGAAGATCCAAGATCAAGATCTATATCAAAGATAAAAAGATCACCACCATCCCTCAACAGACCATTGATCGTTCTACCCAAACTTACGACCTCTCTTCCTCCCCGAACCTTCAATCACGATGTGTTACAAGACCAACTACGAGCCTTACGTGAGTACAACCTTCCCCATGACCATGATTCACGCAAACCATAACTAATGACACTACAGAGGAGTCAAAGCCTGGATATGAAGGAAGACCTTTCTTTGGAGGAACTTCTCTATCCTTTGGGAGATCTCTATCCACACGTCGTGGCCCTTCAACTACAATCTGAGGACAACCCATGGTCCAAGAACTTCCCTGGCTATTCAGATGTCAGCTATTGGACTGAAGTTTCTTCGTCACGGCCACCTTCGGAGACTTCTTCGAAGCACACGACATGCAGGTACAGCAGCGGTGAGTCTTCTCTTGTTCTCCAAATGTTACCTGTCACTTTTGCTAATCCTGATGAACTGCAGACTCCACAGCCTCCAGATTTGTCACCCGCATCCGGCGACTTCTCAGCCGAGATGAGTTGCGCCGACGCTCGAGAGCTTAAACTTGTCTTGACCGAAAGATCTTTGACCTCTCATTTGTCACTTTTCTTCACTACATCGTCGATCGATTCGATTTCCATTCCATTACTTGCATTTGTATTTTCTATTTTCTGTTGAACCGCAGCAAGCGAATACCCTCCTGTCTAATGTTTCATTTGTGATATTGAAAGCATGCTGAAGATCGCCGAAGATCTTGAACTCTAACTCACCGACTCTCTGTCCCTCTCTCTCTGTCTCTTCCTCCCCCGCCTCTACCCCTCTACCTCTACCTATCCCTCTTTGTTCTTTTCCCTCTGAGCTCACACTCATCACTCCTTGTTTGATACATAATGCTTCTTTTCTTTTTTCTTTTTCTTTTCAGCAATTTAGATTAGCAAGGCGTTCATTGGGCAAGCATATGCAAGGGTGAAACAGGGCATCACTTATCATCATCAATTTAACGACTTTGCAAAGGGGCCAGATTGGTGGCACCAATAATTCATACATCATTCAGATCACTGTTTAGCTTCCCGTCTTCTGAGATAAAAGAAAGTAAGGCCAAGAGTAGATTGAAGCCATAACATGCCACGCTTTGTACAGTAGATATTGTTAGATTCGGATGTTATTGAGGATCTTGTCTGTTTGTAATGCTTGTTCGTATGAAAATCCTTGCCTTCCCGTCCAACAGGTATATCAAGAGTATGCATACAAAGATACAGCCCATAATGGGCCGTCATGGAACCCCACAGTGTGAAGCTACAATACTAGTAGTACTAGTACATTACAATATGGAGAGTGCAATTTGGTATACTAAGAGCTAAAAACCCCCCAGAAAAACAGGCGAACAAAACAGAACCGATCACGTCGAACAACTTCCCTCTGTCGGCTCCTTGTAGATCAAGACATGAACTGTGGGGAGCTCAAACTCCACCAATATACGTTTAACTTGCTCTAACACCAGGCTCCAGTTTCGTTGACGTTCTCTCTCCACCGCTATCATCACTGTAGGTCGGCTATTTTGACGTGATTCATTATCGCTGACTCGATAGCTGCCTACGGATATAAATCCGGCTGTATCCAAGCGGCCCATGATTGCCTTGATAACAGCCGAGTGCTTGCTGAATAGCTCATCTGTCTCCTTGCAAGGGGATATATAGGGGCGCCATGCGTCATAGATAGTGGGGAAGTCGTCGTCCAATCTCGGGAACGTGGCTACAGACGCGGGTGTTGAAATGGAGACTGGATTGTTTGAGGCTTGCTCCATTGTGACCAGATCGGTGGATGGTGTTGTGTATCTATTCGGTTGTCAGTTCTATAGAGCACATGGCTTGGCATTGAATCAAAAAAGGGAGTTGATGATAATATCTGTCTTAACAAAAACATGTTTTATACACCTCGTGCATGAGTGCTTACCTGTGGAACTAGCGATTTAGCTAGAGTAGTCTGTATTGATTAGACGCACTGCGGAGTATATCTCGAAAACAGCAAAAGAGAGATGAGCCTGACTCATAATGAGCTAGCAACTCTGAGGGGACAAGTGCCTTATATAGACAAGAGATGGTAATTATCTCATGATGCTGTAATGGTTCTTTGTTGAGTATTCTTGTCCATGATAAAGAAACCTAAGTGGGTCTTTGGCTGTGAATAAACCAAGCTTTGTCTGCTTTCAGTAAAAGGCAATAAGCATGGCTAACAATGAGACATGAGACATCTACTAGTATATCCGGTACCCGCTGCGAGACATGCCACAACTTCAATTATCAACAACAGGGCCCTTCCTTGGAAATTATTACATTTCTATGGACAAAATGGCACCGGAACATAGAGATGCACTCGGTGAAAGATCCAGTGTCTAGGGAAGAAGTCTTACAAGGATTGTGACGCCACCTAGCCCCTGAAATAAGGAACAGGGTGAACATAGCAAAACCATAAGTTTGAATTCAACCAGCACAAACAATCAAATATAAGGTTATTATAAGTTCTCCATATCGCTCGTCAATTAACTATACTCCATAGATTGGGGGAGTTGGATTATATAATCTATATTTAGAGAACACCAACCAGGACGGGACTAGTACAAAGTTTATTGACAATGGTTCTGTTGGCCTCGAGTTCAAGGCTCTTATCCATCATGTTTATGCTAACTGGTTTAAGTCCGATACGAACATTGCCGCCTTATCACATCCAAGCCACCCCAGAAGGCACACGGATTCGATCCCCTGATATACAGGACATGGTCGCTATCACTGTACAGTGAACTCTGTCCTGACTAAGGGCGATCTACACTATCCAAAAAAAAAAGCGCCCACCCTGGATCTCCGACCGCATCCCCTTGAACCCGCTACCCCGGGAGCCTAAACCAGAACCATGGCAAGGTATTCCAATCTCGACAACCACGATTACACCGACGACGACTCTTCAGACGACGGTCTACATTCTTTCAACGATAACAACAACAATGCCCCGTCCTACCGTCTCACCAAATACACCCGCCCGTTAATCGACTATGTCCGAAACGAGTGGCAAACCAACCCCAAATATGCCTCCCTTCCCCTAACAAACGACGACACCTCCAACTGCCCGCGCTGGGTCCAGCTGCTCGGCTCCATCGTAACGGCACCCCGCTTCCGCCGGTATGTCGTGGTCTATACGACGGTTCTAATCTCCTGCTGGACCGTGTGGAAGTTCATCGTCTCGCCGCGGCTGGAGGAGCATGCGGCGATTCTTCGCGCACTGGATCCGCAGACGAAGGAGGAAGTGGGCGGGTGGTTTGGGGCGAATGCCTTACCCAGGTTTGATAATGTGGTTCAGTTGAGGACGCTGGAGCCGTCGCTGTTGCCTGGGGAGGTGGCATCGGAGTCCGATCCGCATGGCGGGAGGAGGTTGATTTTCATCGGTGATGTGCATGGTTGCAAGGATGAGTGTGCGTATATTTACCTACACCCGTACGCCGCAATATCGCTCACTGCATACTAACGTTGTTTTGTCTCGGATCCTACAGTGGAAAGACTACTAGAAGAGACATCCTTCAATTCGGACACCGACCATCTAATCTTTACCGGCGATCTGATCACCAAGGGTCCTGATAGCTTGGGCGTCGTCGACCTAGCCCGCAACTACTCCGCTTCCTGTGTCCGCGGCAATAACGAAGACAAGGTCCTCAGCCTCCGCCACAACATGATCGCCGCCAACACCATGAGCGACGAATTCCTGGACAACGCGAACATGCACAGGGGAAAGTACACAAAGGAGCGCCAAGTGGCACGACAGCTGAACGAAGAGCAGGCCGATTGGCTCGATACTTGTCCGGTCGTTCTGAACGTGGGCCAGATCAGGGGCATGGGACAGGTTGTTGTGGCCCATGCGGGATTGGTTCCGGGGGTGGATCTCGACAAACAAGATCCGTATAGTGTCATGAATATGAGGACTGTTGATTTGGATACGCATGTGCCGAGTTCTTCGGGGAAGGGCACGAAGTGGACGAAGGTGAGTTCCCCCCTCTCTGTTTTTTGCATGTATGCAACCGTCTTTACGGTCCAGGGCTAATGAATATACCAGTTATTCAACAAGCACCAGTCGCTTCTCTCCGATAGTCTCCATGAGACCTTCGAAGATCCCGAGTCGCTGCTTACGACCGTCATCTACGGCCACGATTCCCAGTCGTCGCTTTCTCTCAAGACCTACACCAAGGGTATCGACACCGGCTGCTTTAAAGGTGGAAAATTGACGGCGCTGGTCGTGAGTGACGGTGGAGAGCAGAAGATCGTGCAGGTGAGGTGTAACGACCATACTAAAGAGTGAGGGGTCAGCGTGAGCCTCCTCTTGGCTTCTAAATTTGCGTTTCCGTTCTCCGCTGGCATGGGGAAAGCGTGTGATTTTGAATATAAAGCATGCTCGGTGTTACGGCGCTTTATGATGAAATTGGGTCACTTTTAGGGCATTGTCATGTTTTGATGGACTTAAGAATACTTGTACCACCTCTGCACTAAGTATATACCGGCCCGCTATAGATAGTTCACCTTGGTGAACATCACCTATGCGGGCCATGACAGTATTATATACATTTTATATATACGGAATAATACGAAAAGAGTCCTGCGAAAAGACAACCCAAGGCTCTTCAGGGATTCCCAGAATTATTCCACACCCCATCGACCTCCCAAACAACGGGCTTCGTAAAATCTTCATACCAGAGCCCACCAAGCGCATTCATCTTGACATGTCCGAACCGGAAATACTCCGGTTCATTAGCCTTGAGCCGCGTCCAATTGAAGGATTCTACAGAGCCATTATCCGACTTGAAAGCCTGAAACCGCTCAACATCATTCACCAACACGCTGATCCCATCCGCATCCTCGGCGACATTCGGAAACTGGAATACGATATTCTGAGCCGAAGGGATCAACGGAGCCCCGATTACGGGGAGGATACTTCCCAGCTCCGCGCCGTTGAGCAGAGCAGCTGCTGTCTGGAGGATGCTGTCGAAGCCCCATCTTGCGATGCCGTTAATGAACAGGCCGACCAGGAGGCCTTGGTACAGGAGACTGGGTCTAGTTTGGATGGTTGTACCGGGGAGGAACAGTAGACTGAGGATGTAGTGGTGGATTCGGAGGTTCATGTTTGGTACGATGAGAAGGGCGACGATGCCGCAGGCCATGATGCCGTATATAGACAGCATTCGGGGGAGTCTGCCCTCATTGCGGAAGGTGAGGGCTTGGGTTAGCACGATGGCGATCAGGAGAGTGACGATGATGATCAGCGCGGGTATGGCACCTGGCTGCTGTTGGATGTCGTGGGGTGTCAGACGGGAGATGGGGATCTTGTCGAATGTGTCGTTGTTGAGGGCTCCCACCCAACACGGGCCCAGCCAGAGAACGGTCTTGTCCCAGTGGGCGTCCAAGTCTTTAAGCGTGTGCCGGACGCAGAAATAGTACATTGCAAATCCCACAAAGGCACAGGGGAGAAATCGGCCCAGTGCGGTGGATACCACCTCGTAGAAATCTGGGGAGTAAGGTGGATCAGACGAAAGAGCTACTTGGAAGTAGACGATGAGGTATATCGAAGCGTAGAAAGCTGCAGGCGACGTGGTGAATAGTGATAGTATAGCAGATACTATCAGGGAGAAGGTGAACAGCGGCCACCGGATATCTTGACAACTAACGTTGCCCTCGTCGGACGTCTCGCCGCTACCAAAGGTGAAAGAGAGTGGAAAGTTAGACGGGAAACCTATGCTTGAGATTCCGTTCTTCTCGATGGATACAAAGCCGGAGTACTCGCCCGTCCGACGGAGAACGCCGCAACCACCCTTCTGGTCGCTGATGAGTCCAGCGTGTAGGGCTGCTGGGCAAATCGCCGAGTCTCCACGATATATCCCGAAGTTGTTACTTTCAGAGCTCTCCGTACCACCTCCGATAACGAGGCTCTTGTAATTGATTTCTTCTGGGCCTACATAGTACGGTTCAAGCACGATCGTGGAGGCACAACCTGCAGGGCAGCGGAATGCAAACCCTCCTTTATCAAAGGGACGACAGTCATCGCCATTGATTCCACAATTAGTAGCGTTCGACCTGCCATGATAAGTAGATGAGTATACAGAAAAAGGCCCAGACGAGGAAGAAATCAGTCGACGTTACCATACCACAGTCCGCCATAACATGGGAGTTTTACAGGTTTTCCATAGCCCGGAATCTCCTGGGCCGAGATGGAATAATGCAAAGTTTCTATAAACACAGCGCCCCAAACACCCAGGCAAAGCAGAAGGAGCCAGACCTTAGCGCTCTTGCTAGGAAAGTAGCACTCCACGAGCCGGCCAGGAGCGGTTTGCCATCGACGAAGCCAAGGATTGATCAGATATCTGCGCGGCGGTGATGGTCCTCTAATCCAAGAGTAGATCTTAGAGAGAGAGCACGAGAATCGACCCGATTCTTGATCAGGACGCAAACGTGGGCTTGAGGTTGGCAGTAGCGGTTCGTCGGTGCCCTGAAAATGGTCGTCGGCGTGTACGGAGTCAGTACTTGGCCGTGTGACGATCACAAATGGGCTGTTCCCTGACAGATCCTCGTGAGCCAGAATATGCATCGGATGCTCTTCCGAGACCGGGAAATGCTTCTCAGGGGAAGAGGATCTGGACCATCCCCCTCTAGGTGTCTGGTCCGAATGCATTTTTGGCAACATAAGCCATGGATGAGTGGAAGGTGAACCGCGGGAAAGAGAAAACTCCTTAAAGGAATACCAATTCGGCCCCTTTAAATGAACTTAGTCATCGGCTCACTCAACGTGGCTTCAACTCCTTCACGAGTTGGACGTTAGTATAGAATTTTACCTGGGGACTTCTTGATAAATGTCTCAATCGTCAAGGGGAAGGCGGCAGCTTATTGGTTTTTTAGTTTAAATTTAGCCCGCGATCCATCCTTAGCACCAGCTAGAGTCACGCTTTCCAGAATGCAACCGCGACCAAAATATCCTAGACACCTGAGAAACGAGGCATTGATATACTACACACATTAGATATAAAGCCAAAGTAGACTTGCATTGCCAACTAAAGATTAAGAATCATGTTATAAACGTAACGAGCGATAATATTTGCCACCATCATGCCACATGAGCTCATCAACACACCGACTGGGTATCTGTATTAGTATTAATTGTAATTAAAGAGAATCATTAGGTCGTTTCCCGTGTCAATGGTCATGTATCTCGCTGATGGCGAGCCATGAATCTCAAGTGGAACTTAACGCGACTTTCACATGTGGCGGCGCTGTATTGCGCCAATGCTGAATCACGATGCGAAGTATCGTGTCAGGATCGGGGTATAAAGAGTGTCGTGTGGGTTGATAGATGTCTCTCTTTGAATTACCGGTCTGATTTTCGCTGATAGCCGGCCATACCCAGGGCTGGTCGGGCAGCTGAGAAAACCAAACAATATCGTAAAGCATAGCTTTCCATATTTAGACAGCGGACCGCTTGAAGAAGCCACGGCGGTTGCTACTGATTCAAGGTAAGTTTCGTGCATGTGGCTAGGAACCATGATAGAAAACTTACACTCCGTCACTTGTAGTACCACGGACCCGGAAGGTGAACCAGATACCCTAAGAACAGACCCAGTCAGTATACGAGACTACCGCCATCGATGCAGAAGCGAGTACGAACCACGATCGCCGAAACGAGCCAGACGCAGGCCGAGATGAAGCTGAATGCCTCTGCGGCTTTCCACCGACCACACACGTCGTTATGAACAATACCGCCCCATGCCCAGATACTTCCGCAGTTAAATTTGTGGATAGCGTCGACGAGGATACCGAAGGCAGCGAACCAAGCGAGAGAGATAATGACATCAACTGTCAGAATATGTCAGCTATTGGTTTCAATTTCGCTACGGCACAGCACGGCGGAGACATACAGGGCCACGAAAAGAAGCCGAACGAGAAAGGTATCAACCATATCAGGCCCAGTAGAATGGATAGACCGGCGACCACTTCTGTATAGATCCATCGTGCTTGAGGCCAAGCCTCAAGGTCATTCAACGAACCAAGGTAGTAACCGATGATGCCAGCGACGATCTAGATCAGATCATGTTAGTTTTCATTTCTCTTATCTCTCCCCTCATATTCGCTTCTCCTGTGGATGTGTATAGAGAACGTACCGCAGCGCAGATGATTTCCACTACGCGGAGAACGATCGACACGAGACGTGAGACGACGGGCATGACGAGAGTGTAATGTTTGAGTCTTGAATAGCGGTGTGGATGATGAGGTCAGAGATGCAGGTACAAAATGATGGTGCCTAAGACGGACGTATGCGGAGTATAGATCTGAGAGGTATTACACTGTTACTCGGTAGTCTGCGAGGAGGGTATAAATATGAGGGATCGGCTGCAAGAAGCGAGCAGGGTGGAGGAAAGTAACCGGTTTAAATACAAGCTTCTCACCAGACCAGGAAGATCTGCAGCAATTTTTTTTTCTCTTTTTCTCGCTTTTTCTTGGTCCTTGCTCTAGCGAATTAATGAAGTAAATTTCTTTTGATCGTCACTCCAGCGACATGACATAGTTTCGTTTCGATGATTGGCTAATGGGAAGGGCTGCCCAACGCTTAGTCTAGGCGTATCTTGCAACCATCCACTTGTTTTGCCGAGCAGTGGACAACGATACATTTGACTATAGTTGAGGTTGTACAGTATACTCTGACATCACGCTTTACAGGTCTCAAATGTGGCGCAATATACCACCTCTATTGGGGTAATATTGCCGGTCTATTCCTTCCAATACTTTTATTATTTTATTGTTTTCTTAATTTCGGTAACCACCCCAAACGCAAGGAAACAACCTGGAAAATCACAGAAAATCCTTACCTTCAACAAATTAGTCGTTAGTAAATCAACAGGGCTAATTGCAAACTAAGGCTGAAAGGGGACTCCACCATGTCCATCACTAAGCAGAAAACAGCATATAAACCATACCGCAGCTATCCACTTGACCCACTCTCCATCGCACTCTATATCTCGTCTATGCCTGGAAGGGTTCAATAGCTCCATGGCCTTACCATGGAAAGAGATTTACATAGAATCGCAAGTTTTGCAACACGGTGTTTTCTCGGGATCTTTTTCCTATTTCTCTTCCTTTTCTGTTTCTTTCTCCATACGGGAGATGAACAAGCTGAAGGAAGTCTGAAGATTGTGGCTGATGTGACGTCATGTGCAGCATGGTTACCTAGCCTGAAGATCATCTGACCGCCACATTGTCGTCGGCCCTATTCGATCAGTTTATTTTTTCTTCTTCTTTCCTCTGTTTTCCGGTTTCCACTTTGATTCCTTGAGCGATTGCCAAGATTCTAGTTCTCTCAACCTATCTTTTTCCAGAATTTCAGAGGTAACGTATGGTATGATACAATTACATTGATTATTCCATATCACTAGTAGTAATAGTACAGTCTGGCGCCCGCATCAATACATAACGAGTATAAAAACACAGTTGATAGAGACAAACGGATTGACATCAAAGAAAGGCGATCAGATATTCTTTCTCCCTTCCAAATGCCACTCCATCACCGTCCGGAATACCCCCTTCGCCCCACTCTCAACCACATCCCCGTGGCAGGGAATCAACCGATTGAAATCCCACTTATCAATGCGTCGTACTGATTCATTGAAAGCCTTCCGGTCGCCACTCGATAGTATATACCACACAAACCTCTTCTGCCATGTTGCAGGCGCATTAGTCGAGAGCAACGGGCTGATAATCTTGGTAAGGAGTCCCGAACTGGCGCTTTCACCTGTCTTCGAATATTGCTCCCTTGCGGGGAGATTAAACAAGAGATCCGCCTCGATGAGCGTGCGCGATCGCTTATGCAGAAACACGAGCTCCCGTGACGGATGTCCGTACACGTATTCAGTCTCAAACTCTGAGTCAAACTCTTCGGAGATTTTCTGCTGGCCATAGTTCTCTTTGCGGAACACGTGCTGGAACGGCGCATCCTTGTATTCAGGGTTGGATTGCCGCTTCTCGTAGAGGCCTTCGGGCGCGATGATTTCGGCGTCCGGGTACGCCTCTTTCCACGGTGTGATATTGATATGGTGCTCGAGGTCCAGCGCTGCGATGTACTTGAGATGACCGCCTAGACTTGAGACGGCTTCGCGGACTTCTGGTGTGAGGGAAACGGGGGAGAACACTGCGATAGCGCCGGATGCCAACTTGACTGTAGGAGGCGTTAGATTTTCTTTGCGCAAGCTTTGCCGGCCAAGAATCGATTCTTGGCTATCAATACGTACCTAGAGTTCCTCGTCCGCCGAACTTTAAACGTCCAAATCTCGCGAATGGCAAACTCATAGTGATCACGTCCGAAGTAACATTGCGGATTACCATCACCTCGGATGGGTTCTTGGGAAATAGTTGGGGAGCCATGGCTGAGGGTGTATGTTTTCGGGCGACAATTATCAGGAGGTAATTGTCGCGATGGGGAGTTGGAATACTTATGGGGACTTTAGCTACTAATACCAGCAAGCAAGTTGTCTGTGGGCTCACATGCTCAGAGGTGTTCGTTCAGTAATCAGTTAATTAATTAAACACAGGAATCTGGACTTGTGGCTGTGACCGTGACGTCAACGTAGCGCGGGGCCTGGCAGGAGGGAGGTTAGTAATAGTAGCCTAGGGCCATCCCAGAAAAGGTTCAACTTGCTCCTCCAACCATATATTTTCGTACTTGGAAAACATTGAACCGGATTTTGAGCTTACTAAAGAGACAAGTTACATACTACGATGTGGTTTACGCAGCATATGGCCATTACTGTTGCCCAGGCATTTCTGGCCGGGCCTGCGGTCTAGAACACTGTGTATCTCTAAGCTAACAGACTGAATTCTATTTTGCTTTGCTAAGCTACCTTACCGAGTTAACTATTTTCAAATTATGAACCATTATGCACTTCCAAGTGTACATTGTTAGTTGGAAACACGTGCACTCAGGCGCAGATCTATTTTACGAACCATACACGAGTCAGAAAAACCATTACGGAACAATAGGTTTCATTTACACCGTCCAAAACAATATGGGTATCACAAGTATCCACGATTAAACAACAGAGGGAAAGATAAGGGATAACAAAAACTAGAATGCCCGGCCCCGGAGACTATCATCAGCAGAGTCCTAGCCATACCAGCCGCGCCCAGTGTTCTCATGCTGCTCTTCTTCACGGTGAGGAATGATGGATTCCTTGATATCGTACACCTCGATTAGGTCCCGCCAGGTTTCAAAGTCAAGGCTGAATATAGCCTGGTGTTTCTGAACCCCTTTTCTCTGGGCTTCGTTTGGGGCATACGGTTTTGCAGCATCTGTAACAACCGATGTTAGGTAAAGAAGTCTGACTGAAGTCCAGAAGGAGACTTACGTAGAGTTGGCAACTGCCGACTGTCTACCTGAATACCAACAGTGCCATCCCTGACCAAGAAGCTGACGTAAAACAGATTTTCCACGCTTTGTCCGAACGACCTCGGATTGATGCAGAAGTGAAACAGGGGAACCCCGCCATCATCTGCAACATGGTGTTGAGCCATCACTTCTTGCACCATGTCGTCTGTGGGCTCTTCTTCCAGTTGCGATAATAGGCTCTCTACCATGTCCTGGCCAGCATTCTGCGTTTTTGCAAGCAATTTGTTGATGCTGGTACACATGGTGGTAAGGTTAGACGCTTCTTGTCGATCAAGGTCTTCTTCCCGAAGTTCCTGTGGTCGCACTGCTTGTGACGGATCGATACGCTCTCTAGCTCTTCGCTGAGTGAGTTGCCGGGTACGCTTTTGTACCGACAACGGCCCTAGCAAGAACCCGGAGATGGACGGCCGTGCATTATGGCGGAAGCAAGCAGACCGCCCAAGCCAGTCCCAGTTCATTGCATCTCCTTGATCCTCATCGCTATCATTGGGATCCGCTTGGCTTCGGCCTGAAGCTTGGCCACGACGACGCTGTGTACTCGACATCATAGCTTGCGAATCTTCGGGAGCCCCGCGCATAAAGGATATGCATTTAGAGACAAATTCGTCCACATCTATACCTGCAGATGCATCCCCCAGGACTAAATGTGCGGTCTTTTTGTATGAGAGGTCGGCGGCGCTGACCAAGAGACGTGAGTCGATCGTAGCATCCGAGGTCTGCTTAACTTCTTGAAAGTATTCGTTGGCTTTCTGGATGGTGTCCCGAATGCCATGATTGCCAGGTTGCATATACTCGCTCCTAGAATCTACACCATCGTTTAGAAACTGAAAATAAAAGTCCTGTGCGGTGAGACCCTACCATGTAGTTCCCGCGTCAAGTCCCTGAGTCCTTTCCTGACTCGCCTACGTTCTTTTTCATCCTGATCTGGGTCGTAGAATTGTTTGACGCGCTCCTGTTGCGATAGGGCTATCTGCGACTGACTGCCGCTCTGAATATTGGACGCTCTATTTGATAATCGCTGGCGCTTTGCATTGGCGCCGGAGGCCATGGTCTGAGCCTGGCTTCTTTTTTCAACACGTGCAGAATTTTGGCGGTTTTCTTTATCAGATGAAGGCTCTGGCGATGAAGATTGACTGGGAAGCCTGCGGCTGTGGGAAATGCGTGCCATGCTTAGTGGCGGGACTGCGACGAAAGTACGTCAAACACAAGACGCGACAGGGGTTGGGCCGAAACAATGACAGGCCGGCGAGACAAAGAGATAATTCACCGGGAATAATTAGGGGGCTACTATCACTCAGGTAAGAGAGGCATGGGGCAATTGGACCGCTAATAGTGGTCTCACCAGCAATCTCATCATCTATCAATCATTATTACTTTTGAACGGTGCTGCGCGCCAAACGCGTTGCGAAAAATATAAATCACGTGAGGTCAGCTGACCCCGCGTCATCCGATAAGTGCTCTTGACTCTTGGCCAATCAATAGGCCGCATTGCCATCTCCCCGGACGGAGCTCTTCTGTCCTTCTGTCACAGAGATAAATGTAATGAAGCACTCCAAGCGTCAATGAGGCCGGATTCGGAATTTCCGAGTCAATATGGAGGCCTTTACATTTGCTGTCTCCACCCAGGTGGACTTTCCGATTCAAATCAAAATGTAAGTGAAGCCGCAAACTTCAAACAGGACTGCTTTGTAATGGCAGATGTTGGGCTCCGAGTCAACTAATTCCTCGGCAGTGGCTCTTTGGAAGGAAAGCAGAAAGAGGTCCCCTTTTCTATACTCCTCAAGCGACCGGAATTGCGACACCTCGGTTCCGTGCAGAACCCCACATCCGATCTCTTCGTCACAGTACAGCTATGGTCAGACTCGAAACCGCTGGGGGTGCCTTTGCAAACCTCATATAGAACGTTCAAATCGGTCCGCGCCTGGAATGAATGGCTCCAGATGCCTATGTCACTCAAGGATGCCCCGTACAAGTGCCAGCTTGCGATAACCATTTGGGACTTGTCTCCATTTGGAGGTGAAGGTGCGCAAGGCCATTACGTTCCATTCGGTGGGACAACAATATCCCTATTTGATGAAGAAGGTAAATTGAAGATGGGGAGGCAGAAGTGCAAAGTATATCGTCACAAGGCTGCCGATGGCTTCTCTTCGACAACTACCCCTTCGGTGCCATCAACGAAGCGACGGAAGACCAATGCTTCTGATCCGTTGGGCCCTTCGCCCGAGGAGATAGAGCTGGAACGAGTAGAGGTGCTGATCAAGAAGCACGAAATGGGGGAGATACCACGAATCGATTGGATGGACCAGATGGTCTTTCGTCAGCTAGAGAAGTTGAAACTTAATGCCGAAGAATCCGCAAGGAAGCGGGCCACCCTTTTAAAGTCGACGAAGCATAAATCCCGGGGGAAACATGGAGACGATGGAGATGATTCAGATGAGGGGGATTTAGACGACGAGAACTTCACTCTCTATGTCGAATTTCCACGCTTTGACCACCCCGTGGTCTGGTCTGACCACGAGTATCCTCCTCCCCCGGTCTCGTCGTACCCCCACAATGCACCTGCCAACCCTAGTTCTGCATTGAAACCTGCACCGGAGGTTCGTTTTGGCCCCGGAATCGAAGGTGCTGATGGAGAGGGGGTGATCAGAATATATGACCCTGAAGTTGGGCAGACAGGCAATCCATGTGAAGACAAACACAGAAGACTCATTCGTAGTCACCGTACCGGCATCATGGACAGAGACCTGAAACCGAATCCAAAAATCCGGGATGAACTAAATGCCATACTGTCGTACGAGCCAACGCAAGACCTCACTGCCGAGGAAAAGGACCTTGTTTGGCGCTTCAGGTACTATCTAACTCGTGAGAAACGAGCGTTGACCAAGTTTGTTAAGTCGATCAATTGGCGTGATGCCGGTGAATCACATCAAGCAGTGGAAATTCTCCCTAAGTGGACCGAAATCGATGTCGATGATGCTTTGGAGCTCCTTGGGCCAACGTTTGATAACCCAGCAGTCCGTTCTTATGCAGTTGAAAGGCTTCGGAAGGCCGACGATGAAGAGCTTCTCCTTTACCTCCTTCAGCTGGTACAGGCGCTAAAATACGAGGAAAATTCCAACAATGACACAGAGGATGCTGCCCATGATTCGTCACTGGCTAATTTCCTGATCACTCGTGCTGCAAATAATTTTAAGCTCGGAAGTTATTTCCATTGGTATCTAATGGTTGAATGCGATGACACCAGCCCCGGAACCCTATCCGCGCAGCGCAGACTCTTCGCTCGGGTAGAATACTATTTTATGACTGATTTGGAACAAGTGCATCCTGAGCATCGAAAGACGCTGTTACGTCAGGGTGAGCTGGTTGCTGTGCTCTCTAAGGTCGCCAAGGATCTCAGGTTCTCGCGAGATAGCCGGCCACTGAAGATTGAGAAACTCAAAAAGTACTTGAAAGACCCTAAAAATGAGCTTGTGCACATTGAGCCTCCATTGCCGCTGCCCTTAGATCCAGAAATATCAGTCACAGGCTGTTTTCCGGACGAGTCCAATGTCTTTAAATCTACCCTGTCTCCTCTCCTCATCACCTTCAAGACATCTGAAGGGCAGAAGTATCCAATCCTGTTCAAAGTCGGCGATGATCTTCGCCAGGACCAGCTCGTTATACAGATAATCATTCTAATGGACCGTCTTCTGCAAAAGGAAAATTTGGATCTTAAGCTGACACCCTATCGAATCCTTGCCACCAATGCTACGGCAGGCGCTGTCCAATTCATTCCATCAGCATCCTTGTCTGCAATCTCAGCCAAGCACCGGTCAGTCCTTGCATATCTCCAAGCAAACAACCCTGATGAGAACGAACCACTTGGTGTCCGAAAGGAGACCATGGATACCTACATTAAATCCTGTGCCGGATACTGCGTGATTACATACCTCCTCGCGTCGGCGACAGACATCTTGAGAATCTTCTCCTCGCCCCAGATGGCCATTTCTTCCACGCCGACTTCGGATTCATCCTAGGCCGAGACCCCAAACCATTCGCTCCAATGATGAAGCTCTGCAAAGAAATGGTGGAAGGAATGGGCGGCACTACGTCTCCTCATTACCTCCAATTCAAGCAATACTGCTTCACCGCGTACACCACGCTGCGCAAGTCGGCAAACCTTATTCTCAACCTGTTCAGTCTAATGGTCGACGCCAATATCCCCGATATCCGCGTTGAGCCGGACAAGGCGGTACTCAAGGTCAAAGAGAGGTTTCATCTGGAGATGACGGAAGAGGAGGCTATTCGTCATTTTGAGCAACTCATCGGTGACAGCGTAAATGCTATATTCGGTGTGGTTATTGATCGTCTTCATGAGTTTGTTCAGGGCTGGAGAGCATGATGTATTATTGATAACTGGCGAGTGCTCGCCAGAGATTCGAATCTATTTGCCGCTTTGTTCGACTTTGGGCTACTGACACAGGCATTGGCGCTATTCGTTGTGTGTATTGGGTATGATTAGGAGTCAGGAAATGGGATCGGCGCAGGTCTTGTCTATAGGAGATACCCTAGTCGACTTGGGATAATATTTACTGTCAATATAACTATTTATAGATCTATTATAGAACGTTCAAATGACTGAACTCTGTCCGTCTCCATCATTAATCATTTAACCTTCAGCCGACCGACATCAACACCCCTTGATCGACCGACCCAATTCCTCGTCTTGTCGCGTCCGATGCTCCAGCTCTACCCACTCCTGCCCAGAGTCACTCCGATCCGCAATATCAACCACACCAGGATGAGATGTGGATCTAGATATCACAGCCGGCGACCCAGGATGCGAACCCGATGGCCTACTTCCGAGTTCATCTACCTGGGAGGAAAAAATACCATCTGTCTCGGTACCCTGGCCGGCACGACCGGTGATATCATCGCCGCTAAGCTCATCCTTCTTTGCCTCTGCATCCTCATCATCCTCAGGTGTGCCTTCTCGGCAAGCCCAGGCATCGACGAAGCGGAGGACCTCGCGCGGCCACCAGTTTTTCATTACTAGCAGGCGAAAGGGGACAAGGGCAACGATTATAACGGGAAAAGCAGGAGCACCTCTTGTCAGGGTGACGATGAAGATAGCCACTGTGATCACGATCTGTAGGATAGTGTATAGGTGGATGGGGATGTAGGAGGGGGGTGGTGGGGTGCTGTTGTCATTAAGGTCGGCATCGTCGGGTTTCTTCGCAAGAGAAGATGGTAGAGGCGGAAGTTCAGATGGCGGAGTAAGAAGGTAAAAGGTTCGGTATAATATAGGACTGTGTTTAGATGAGTTATATCTCCTCTGACAATAAGTGGGAAAGGTATGCACTTACTTGACCGATAAACTCTGCTCGCCCATGAACATGAATAGTCCGGCAAGAACACTCGTCGGCGTTAAGCCGAGGACTTTCATGAAAGGCGGACTGACGAAAAGAAGGATGGCCCCTGCGTGCAAGAAAGTGGACCAGCGCTGTTCGTGAACGCGCTTGACTTCGTGCGTCTCGACTTTCTCTTCGCCATCTATGATGACGGCGCGCTGTTCTCGCTCCGAATGCATTAGTGATTCGGAGTGCAGGGGAGCCTGGGGCAAAAGACCGTTGGCGGGTGGGATGCCCAGGATTCCGCAGAGAGCCGTTGTTGTGCCTAGTAGGATGATGTCCCATGCGAAGCCGCCGGGTTTGCGGGTGCCGTATCTGTCGATTGTGCATATGATGGAGCTTACTTCGTGGTCGAAAAAGAAGAGGATGGTGATTATGATTCCTGGCACTATGGCGGCGAAGACCCATCCGACGGGTAAGGTCCAGAACTCAACGAAGAACTTATCACGGTCTGGTGATGTGGGTTTGAAGGAGTTGCTGACGGGAAGAGTCATCTTGTCGAGGTGTGCTAATTCGCCGATATGGGGCATGGCGATGAAGACAATGATGGATATTGCGGCGGCGTACTCTGTGAGCCCCATTCGGATGTATCGATGGAATAAAGGCTTCCAACTCTCAGCTGTGGAGAGAAAGATGGCGAGGAGCATGGTTCCGACAGCACCGATTACAGCGTATAGGAAAGCGGCGAACGAGAGGGTGTCATGTGCTCTTTCAAGCTCCTGGATGGCCTTGTGGAAATAGATGATGCTGTTCAGGAGAGAGAAGATTTCTGTGGCGAATGTTGTCACATAGCGCATAGTCCAGTCGTGTGCATTGATTATGGCTAGAATATAATGCAACCAGGCCGCATGAATCAAGGACCATGCCATGAAAGGGAGGAAGGGCACCTGTTATTGCTATTAAATACTGTTGAGGTGCAATGCGAGTGGTGTATTTGCTTCTTTAAGGAAATACCTTGAAAACTTCGTCACACAATGCATAGATATTCTCTGCTAGTACAGAGAAGGGTCCAGTAACACCAAGGATTGTCAGAGGCTGAATAGAGAACCTGAAATCGATTAGCTTTAACGATATATGTTATTTTCCCGGACAGCGTACAAAGAGAAGATGATTCCACATAGTCCCGTACTAAAAACAACCTCAATCGTTCCCCAAGTCTTGCCAGTCAAGACATACAAGTCACTGGCAAAAGTAATCCCCGGGAGAAGGTTAGTGAAGAATACATATACCGCGCTAGCGAAGATCAATTGGTTAAATATAGTCCAGTCCGAAACATATCGGCGGCGCAGGTTGATGATATCCTGCTTCACCAATCGAAAAGGACGCAGAGGCCCACCGGCCGATACGGAGCCCCGTAAGACTCGAAATGCCTTTGGTGTATGCTTTGAGGGGGTTATAATGGAATGTGCATCATCTCTTTCCTCAACCCTGGACTCATGAATGCCACTTGGTTCTCGCACATCCCGCCGTCTTGGAGGCCTGTGGCGAAGGGAAGAGGTTCGAGTAGAGCGGGGCCGAAAGGCTGAAATCAAGGACATTTATTGACTTGACACTGAATACAAGAATTGTTATCGCATTCCCAGTTGTTTGGTCAAGTGAATTATGAAGCGACTTGCTTCTGCTGTAAATATGGAGACTTGATCAAGAGTCGGTGGGGACGGGGACGATGAACTGGTGGACATAAATTTATAGTCACTGGATTGATACGTAAGCCAATGAGGGGTGATTTCTTGTCGACTAAAATTGACTTTATGCCAAGCCAAAATCAGAATAAATTAACACTCATATAGTACCTATATCGCTAATACATTGCTTCTAACGAAAATACTAGCGGATGCATGATAGTCCGTAAAAGAAGGGTAACATAGTCGGAATTAGTTCAAAGGTCAACCATCTTACAGCTTGGCTGAGTCAACAAGTCCCTGCTGCTGCAACCACTCTGTGACAAAAGAATTGACCTCCGCTGGCTTCTGCCACAGAGCCCAATGCCCTGCCTCGACTTCTTTCACGCTGAGGTTTGGTACAAAGGGTACCATGGCTTTGGCCATCTCAGGGTTAACCACAAGGTCAGCAAGCGCGTGAACATAAAGCACGGGGCACTTGATTGAGATCGCCTCTTTGCCCTGGGCCAAGAGGGAATGCTCGTCGGTCCAGCTCTGCTGGCGAATACGGTAGTAGTTGCCTACACGTTCATCAGCTTTTCTCTATTCCTTATAGAATGGAAGGGGATGCTCATACAAGGTCCTTGGAGCCCATTTCTCGAGTACTCCTCCACATAATACTGCAGTTCTTCTTCACTGAGCAATCTTGTGTGACCCAGCTTAGTAGCCACCTCGAAGTCGAAACCGCGGGTCGAGTCCATTGCAAATTTGCCTTCAGGAGTGGCCCCACCGTACAGGCCATTGAGGAAAGCACGGATACCTTCCTTATCTTGAGTATGGGACTCAACCACGCCTTCTGCGCTGCCGAATTGCAGCTGGTACCCAACTGTGGGGACGAGCTTGGCGAGATCAGCCGTATCGATGTATTTCGGTGACGGAGGGAGATATGGGACAACAAAGAGAATGAGATGGGTGATGAAAGAAGGGTGGTAGAGAGCAAAACGGGAGGCAATCACCGAGCCCCTTACTCTGAGGATTAGATGGGTTCTCATAAAGCATCCAGCCCGGAGAGAGTGAGAACATACCAGTCATGACCGGCGAGAACGATATTCTGGCAGCCGAGTTGCTTTCCAAGTTCAGCCAAATCATCGGCATGCGACTTGTAGGAATAGGCGTCGAGAGAGTCAGTTGGTGCATCCTGGACGAATCAGATTAACAAGAGCCCGGAACAAAGAGTACAGCGCATCCAATCATTCGGGACTTACTGATCGTCCGTATCCGATACAGTCAACAGCAACGACGCGGAAGCCAAATTTGAGAAAGAGAGGAATCTGGTATCTCCAGCCCATGGACAAATCTGGGAAACCGTGAATCTGTATTGCACGGGTTAGCTACCGGTAGCCCCATTGGCCCAGTTCAACGACATACCAAGAAGACCGTGCGAGTAAAGCCGCCCTCAGGCTCGGCGAGGAGATATCCTATCCAATCAAGTTAGTGAGGCCTTCTCCGGACGTCGGGGGAAGCAAGAGGCCACACCGTATGTCTTGCCATTGATGGTGGCAGAACAGCGACGGATCCGAGGGTCGTTGACGACGTTGATTTTGTCAAGGGTAGTAGAGGAAGACATGTTGCTGCGATCGAGGGATAACACACAGTAACAATCGGCAATGGCTTATGGGGGGTTCGGCTGCATTAAGTAGTGCAATCCGCCCCTGCAGGCTCAATGAGAAGGCACCATCATTCGCACAACGGCCATCGTTTCAAGAGTGGATCTAGGATGATCTGAACCTTCTTTCTTTACAATGAATTATGTTTATGTGATCTTATGTGTTATGTTAAAAGTGGGGCATTGCGGCGAAGTGGATCATCACAATAGGTGGTTATCATGATTAGTGATGTGAATATCTCCGAGATCAACTCTGTGGCAGACGCTCAGATGGTGATTTGAAATGAGTGACTGGGAGCCAATATTGTATCCCTGGGCCCGGGCGAGTTAGTCCTACTCCCAGGATACTCTATGGTAACAACAGGGATCAGTAAGGATTGTTGTCGAGTTGGGGTAAAGAATGAGCCGAGGTATTTTCCAGAATCCGTTCAAAGTCTTAGTAACTTCAACCTAGGCAACGTACCACTCTTCCGGACAGTACATCTCCTCTTCTCATCTTACTTTAAGGGTGTCTCAGCTACCTATATGTGCATAAAGTTATCCCTTGCAGCTGTCACCAATGACCCACCTGCAGGAGGAACAATATGCAGCATAACTACTCCGACAAGTAGAGGTCTCAGACCAAACCATACACCTCCGTTCTACCTAACCCGTAACGCTGCCTTTGGGAGCTGTTATTTCACCCGCATACTAAAAGGTTTTGGTAAGTTGTCGAATTATGACTGTGTCATTCTGGGGAGTGACTAGAGAAAAGCATCCCGATATTGACTTTAGATGCGAGTCGAAATATACACCGAAGTTCCACCGAGCCATTCTATATACAGTTATCATGAGATGAGTTTTCTGTGTGGAGTCGGAGCTATATACCCTTCAAGCTGACGCCACATTTCACACATACAACAACACCAACAACATCAAAGTATAACAGACCTTTATTCTGGCTTGGCCTTTCTTGTGTTGAAGACCCAGACATAGACGAATGGGTAAAGAGTTTCCGGAATGAGAGTCAATACAATGGTCCAAATACTCCAAGCTGACCCCACATACGCCCAGTTTTGGGGGACATTTAGATAGCGCCAGAAAAAGACGCCATATGCCGTGAAACATCCCAGATATCGAGTAAGCCTAAGGCATTCAGCAAAAGATCTCTGCGCTACCATGTTCAGGAATGGTACGTACCACATTTCAAGGGAGTGGCCGCTCGTATCATGGTTCTTCCACAGGCTGTACAAGCACAGCCAACCAATGGGAAATTGCAGGATAATGCCAGTCCAGTACGCCGTGATCTGTTCTCGCTCATCGGGGTAAACCTTGGCCAACCACCAGAGGAATAATACCCCAGCTAAAACGCCGCAGATCATATTCCGAAAAAGCCGCTTTCTTTGGTCCGGACTGTGGGCATGCTGAATTGCGATTGCTGTGAAACCGAGGTCGAATTCGAACCAAACAAGAAAAGCAAGCTTTTCGAACCACGTAGACGTTGTGGTAAACGCATAGTATATCTCATATGCCATGGTTAAGCAGCTGGGGCAACATTTTAGGATACATACTCTCACCCTTATGATCGTTTATGACTTACAGGTATTGTATACCCCCGTAGCTCGCTCCTGGATATGTCTTGTCTTTGTATGTTCGGAGCATGCAAAAGAAGTAGCACATAGCATACAGCACCCCGCATGCCACGATAAGGCCATCCTGAATGAAGAGATAGCTTTCCGGAGGATCATGTTGGAGGTCAGCGGGTTGAACGATAAGATGCCCAACTCGGCGGGCTAGCTTGAAATCCGACATTACGAGAAGTTCTAAAACTCAATGATGCCAAACTTCACTACAAGGGTACCGAGATCTATGTTAAGGTTTGACAATGTGAAGTGGCATCAACGTTTAGATATACTTTTTTCCCCCCATACTGTGGCAGTGATGGCCCAGTGGAGCGCAAAACGTGGAATGACGTCAGCTCCACACCCTTCTGGACCAGTTGGATGGTGCCGGATAAGTTTTCTTGGACATCTTGGTGAACACCCTACCTTATCTTACGTGGATTCAGTGTATTCGATGGTCACTTGGACCTAGTATGGGCCCCTCTAGCCTCTGCTTGATACCTGAGGCATCCAGTTCAAGTCAGCTCAATAGCCAATCATGCTACGGTACATAAATATAGTAAAGCAAGAGTACCGCCTTCCTGACCGCCCGTTCATTTCAGACATACTGCCGGGAATGATATCAAACTGTCTTGTTTCTCTCGACGGTTTCGACGGTTTCTATTTCGCAATTGACCCTCAATAATGTGTGAAAGAACAGCTTGTACACAATCATATCACCCAACCGCTAATAATATCTATCAGACTATTGTAGGATGGCAGCCAAATTTATTCCCCGACAGGCCTTCCCTAGTTATACGTCCATCCCAAGGTCGTATTTCCTGGGTCACCATCGGGCAGGTCTGAAAAAGATGCAGAATATGCTCTCCTCCATTGACTACGTCGTTGAGTGCCGCGATTATAGAGTACCAGTTACATCTATCAATCCCATGTTTGAAGAAGCCTTGGGGAAAACCAGACGATTAATAGTATATACAAAGAGGGATCTAGGTGCGGAATCAGGGTCACCAGCCCAGCAACAGGTACGTTAAAATTCTAACTGGTTCAGGTCTGCAATACATAGGGTTATACTTATACTACCGCTTCTTTATATAGGCAGAGAAAAAAGTTCAGAGTTTCGATAAGAATAGCGCTGTGTTCTTTGTTAGCTCCTCGTCCCGCCCGGATGTGAGTTCTATATTGAAGCATTTACGAAATGATGCTGAAGGACCCGACAAACTCGTGGGGTGTCGGGTCATGGTTGTCGGAATGCCAAATGTCGGCAAATCGACGTTAATCAATAATCTGCGAAATCAGGGTGTGCGCAAAGCTAAGGCTGTGCAGACAGGCGGCCAACCTGGTATTACCAGGAAAATCGGAACTCCCGTCAAGATTATCGAGAGAGAGAACGGCTCTCATGTTTATGTGCTAGACACGCCCGGTGTCTTTATGCCATACGTACCAGATGCAGAAAAAATGCTGAAACTGGCACTTTGTGGTTGCGTCAAGGACTCTGTGATCTCACCCGTCACATTAGCAGACTATCTGTTATACCATATAAATTTGCATAATACCCAAGTATATGAGCGTTGGTCCCCGCCAACTAATGAAATTATGCCTCTTCTAAACGATTTTGCCCGTCACACCGGACTGCTTGCCAAGGGTGGTATTCCAAACACTGACCTTGCGGCGTTGCATTTTATCCAAAAATGGCGCGCAGGTGGCTTGGGGAAGTTCATCCTGGATGACCTGCAAGCAGAGGAACGTCATCGTCAAGAAGGCACGAAGGATGCAGTGGGCACCAGCATGTCCCAAGCGCGCAAGGCCGAAAGGATGGCAAGGAAACACCCCCAGAAACTGTAAATAGAATAAGTATGTCCATTGTACAATAGAATGCATCTTGTTGGTATCATCAGTTGAGCTTTTTTGCTTCTCCTCAAATGCGTAAAAAGGAAAGCCAGGGATCCGAAAGTGGAGCGAATACACATATGACCAAACACAATATGAAATGACACCCAGAACGCCGTATGAAATAAAAAGTTTGAACAAAAAAAAAAGGTTGAGGACGCCTGTACACCAGTCCATGCACACCATCCATCTCAAGTGATTTTCTCCAACAGCCTTCTCCTCCGCCGGTCAACAAGTTCCTCCTGTACCTCCTCCAGAGTCGGCAATCTCCATTCCACGCCGTCACCGGCGTCACCAGGCAATGGCTCCCACCCGTCCTCAACGTCATCTTCCTTCTTCTCACGGAGACGCTCAGCAGCCTCCTTCTCCTTCTGCTTCTCATAGGCTAACAGCGTCCCATCCTCCTCATCCAGGCCATAGCCGAAATAGTTCGCATCGACCTTCCTCGTCGCGATATCCCCACCTCGACCGCGGCTCTCCTCGCCCTCCTCTTCCGCAGGCTTACGACCACGTCGAGCCGCAGCCTCAAACATCTCCTTGACACCAGGCAGCTCCCTCGCGCGTCCAAAATATCGATACCCCTTCCCACCACCGGGAATCTCCCTCCCCTCATCATCATACACCCGCCCCGAACCACGCATATAATTCGGACCGCCCAAGTTCCGAATCTGCATCTCCCAGATCCACTTCTCGCGCATCAGCTTGTTGATCTCATCGTTCAGGTCCCGGATCTGGTAATCGCTCAAGCTCGGCTCTTGGATGCGTGAAACCTTGCGCGAAATCTCCTTGAGCACCTGCCCACGCCATTTTTCACACATGGGGATCGAGTCCACCGACGTGATCGCCTTCGGACGCCGCGTGCGACCGATATCGATGATTCCGAGATCCGCGGCCTGCTGCGCCCGGAAGCGGAAGAGCATCGACTGGGCTTTTTCGCTGTTTCGCGCCTGTTGTAGGGTTAAAGCTTGGTTAGCGGGTGTGGTGGAACTTTACATAGGCGCATATTGGGAGAGGCTGAGGGCTTGTTTTCTGGCGTTAGAGGGGGGGTGGAAAACTTACCATGGTGAGTAGCTGCGCGAGTCGATCTCAATGCAAGTTTGGAGGGGACAAGAGATTGGGGGGGTTGGAAGAATTATGCCCTCATGTCATGGGCAAAGTAACTTGATCCGAGCTTAGGTGGGCTCGGGAAACGTTTGGGTTCAAGCGAGCGCTAGCCGGTTGTGATTTAGGCGCGCGCCTAAAGTATCCATTGTCAGCCAATCATACTGGGTTTTGGCGTATACACTAGGTTGACTTCAGATACCCAGAGGTGCTGTTTTTAATCGCAAGTTGTGTATTGTAAGGGTACATGGATAATACTAGCTTTGTGGCCCTTCAAGTGCAGACGGAAAATATCAAGTCTTTGGAGACCCTTACCTCGTAGCGCTTGACTACCAGTAGAGAAATCGTCGATATATCTTATCTTCCATGCTTGCCGCGGAGCCTCCTCCCATACTCAGGTCACATCTCTTTGCATACTTCAATCCTTCAGAGTCATCACTATGAGATAGGTGACCGATTGGAGTTGCTTAAACCATGGGGACAAAGTTAGACATGTCAAAGACAAAGAAACAGCAAAAACCAAAGCAATGTGAGCCTTCCACACAAGAGAATATAAAGATTCTACCTAGTACCTAATGTTTTCTTAGTAAGATTAAGAGATGATTGCTACTAGTACAAGTTTCCAATTTCGTCTAAACAATCTTCTGTAAAATTGCTCGATATATTAATAACTGAACCAACTTGAATGCAGATCGTTGTATCACTTAGAAATTCATATACACATATGCCACCAAGGGGAAAAAAAATTAGAACAGAAGACAAAACATGAGTGTAAAAAGCAAAATAATCAACTATTTCTTCACATTAACACCGCGTAGCCATGCAGCATAGACATAACGTCATTGTCATTATCCATAGCTCAGGTCCTATATTAGAAACCTGACTCCTCAGATGCGGCTGTGCTCAGCAGGGTCAACCCGCTTGATTATTATATTCTTTATAAAAAGCCTTTGGTGTTGCTTGGCATCCTCTGTGGTATGTCGCCCGAGGAAAAACCATTGCTACCCCTTCTGCTTCCGACGTCACTGAAAGTGACATGGCCGCGTCCTCTTTCGACTCGTAGAGCTCTCCAACCCTGCAACTCGCGTTCTAGTCGCAATGACTTTTCCTTTTCTTCTCGAAGCTCGCGCTCCGCCCGACGCACCTGCAGTTGTGTATCTGTATCGTTGTGCTGGAGCTCCTCGATGTTTCGAAGCAAACGGTCGATCTTATCGCGGGCCTTGTTGACGTCGTCAGTCAGTTGTGCGTTGACCCTCTCCCTTCGGTCAATTTGGGACTGGAGGTCTTTGACGGTACGGTCAACATTCCGTAAAGAACGTTGCTCTGAGCTATGTTTAGCCTCCTGCTCCTCAAGGTGGGTCTCCAACTGGAAAGCCGGTTTGTTAGCAAATGGTCATTATTCCACAGCAACTAAGGGCGGTGAACCTACATCTCTGATTCTCTTATGCAAGAATTTGACATCTTGACTGCCTGATGAATAGCTCTTTGTTTCCAGATCCACACAGCGCAGCTGCGACTCCTTCAACTGCTTCTCCAAAGTAGCTTTATCCTTGAAGAGCTGGGCGTTGGCCTCTCTTTCTGCAGTGATTTCCTTCTGTATTTCGGTCACAAGAGCATCCGCTCGCCTCATTTTTCCAACAGCAGCTGCAGAGACATCTTCTTGCTGGGCAAGCTTAGATTTGAGCTCAAGGAGTTCGCGGTTCATACTGGCGGCGTTGCGCATAGATGGACTTTCTCCTTTAGCAAGCTCTTCCAGCCTCTCCCCAGCCTCAGTCAAACGGACTTCCAGCATTTTCTTCTCCTTGAGCAGCATATCTCGCTCCGCCGTCACATCATCGACTGAAGTACGCAAGTCTCTCACCTGCGATAGAAGGGTGACGACCCTGCTTTGAGCTTCATTGTGAGCGTTGACGGCCTCGTCTCGAGAGGTTGTTACGTCCTGGAGCATGACCTCCATTCGGGACTTTTCCTTAGCCCACGTTGAGCTATTTAATACCTCATTGTCCCATTTACTGCGGAGATCTTCGAGCTCTTCTCGGAGTCGAGAGTTCTCGCCACGAACCTTGAGAATCTTCTCCCGCTCCATCTCGAGTTCATTGTTTAGGGTGGAAAACTCTCTTTGGTATTTTTGGCGCGTCTGCTCCATTGAAGTCTCCTTATCTTCGATATCGATGGCGCGTTGATTCCTATAGTCCTCGAGCTCATTCTGGAGCCGCTGCTTAGACTGTAGGGCACCTTGTAGCTCTGCTGCCTGATCCTCCATTCTTGCCTCCAGAGCTTGTGTTTGTCGCTGCAAATCTTCGACAAGGCTATCCATCTCTTTGCGCTCTGACATTATCCTTGCGCAGGTGTCTTCCGCCTCCTGGGCTTGCACTTTAGCAAATTGCTCCGCTCGAGTAGCCTTGAGTACAGTAACCTCTGCTTGCTCAAGTTTGCTGAAGTACTCATCAGCACGAGTTTTGTAAAGGCTTTGGCTTGCAGCAAGGTCGGCAGACTTCGATGTTTCCGCATCTAGCCGGATTTGTAAATCGGCGAACTCTTGGAGAAGCTGGTTTCGGCTTGCAGCGTCCTGGTCTTTAGTGAGTTGCAGCTCTTGGGCTTCAGAGCGCGAGTCGCGAAGTTCAACTTCCAGGGTAGCTTTCGACCGCTTAAGCTTTTCCAACTGGGCTTTCATGTCGCTAAACTCAGCAATAGCTTCATTGTGCACCTTGAGCAATGATCGTCTGGATTGTTCCTGGGAATTGATCAAGTCGTAGAGTTCCTCGTGTGATTTGGCTTGCACATCCCGCAAGGAGAGGTCACCCAAGTGGATGCTTCGCTCAAGTGCAGAAACCTTCTTGGCAGAATCATCAAGCTGATCATGCAAGCGGCCATTTTCGCGCTCTAAGAGTTGCATTCGCCTGATAGATGGGCTCTCATCCTGCCACGCGTCCCGAAGAGGGTTTGCTTGCTGTAGTTGGCCTTGGAGGTGCTTGTTCTGCATTTCACTCATCTGAAGCTTATTCTGAAGCTCTTCGAGTTCGGCTGCCATGTCCATTCGTTTTTGATAACCCACGGTGTCCACTGTACGATCAGATCGGGCAGAGTCATTGGCGTTTTCGTTGAAATTAAATCTTCGGTTAGGTGTCGTTGGCGTGTTGTACTTCTTCACAATCCCATTTTCAGAATCCTTCCTCAGATGTGTTGGTGTACGGTTCCCAACCTGGTTCTGATCGATCTCTTCCAGGAGCGCACGCTTGGATGAAGAGTAGCGGGCGTCTAGCTCCCTCATCTCATCGCCGTGTCGACGGCGCATTTCTGCAAGCTGACTTTCTGCTCTGTTATACTTCTCCTCAGTCACTTGCAACTGAGTCCGCGTGGTATCTAGTAACTGAGCCAGGTCTACCTTCTTCGACAGGTCCGGCTGTACTTCCTCCCATGATTCTGGGGACCGATCGGATGCAGGGTCGACAACCTTATGGAGCAGCATCAATTGACGATGGAGATCTTCAATCTCTTTATTTGCAGTATCCAGAGAGGTTTGAAGTTTGCGCGTGTTTGCTTGAGCTTGGCTCCGCAGCTGTCTCTCCGTCTCTAGGTTCCTGTTGGCTTCAGCAAGCTGAAGGTTGGCTGTGGATGCAGCCTTCTCAGCATTCCTACAAGCTTTGCGCTCCCTGTTTGCTTCATGATTTAAGTCTTCCAAGCTCAGCGAAAGTTTTTCTTTCTGTTTCTCCAGCGATGTAATCGACAGTTGAAGATCCCCAAGCTGGCGGGTTAGCTTCTTACTGTCCTCTTCGAGTTTTGCCTTCTCTCTTTGGAGTGTTGTAACACGGAGACGTGAATTTTCGCTCGCCTTCGAGTTGGATCTAGCGATGTCGAGATTCTTCTGTTGGATCTTGGTTAACAACGCCCGGTTGTCATTTTCCGATGCGGTGAGTCGGCCCTTAAGAGTTACCAATTCGCGCTCCAGTCGTTCCTTGTGTTGGTCATGGCGAATGCGGAAGTTGTCAGATTCAGCGATTGCGTTGGTTAACTCCTGCACCCTGACTGAAAGCCGCTCCCTCTCAGCCTCAACCTCGTCTACCTGGCGCGACTTCTCGTCAAGGTCCTTCCGCACGCTATCCAGTCGTTCGTTGGCTTGGTTTTTAATGTTTCGTTCAATCTCAGCTTCCGCATTCAGACGAGCATTTTCCACACTAGTGAAGCGATCTCGTAGCTTGATCAGCTCAGTCTGGAGCTCTTTCCGCGATTGTTCCGCAGCGAGACGGGCCTCAGTGGCACGGCGGAGTGTATCTTGCTGGATATACATCTCCTTTTCGATGATTATCTTCGAATCATTGAGGGATGTGTACTTATCGCGTAACTCAGCGAGATTATGCTCCGCAAGCATTTGAACATCGTCCCTTGATTGACGCTCTCGGCTGAGGTCCGCCTGTGCCTGGAACAGCTGTTCCTTAAGGTCATGGATCTGCTGCTCCAAAAGCTTTCGGCTCTCCACAGCTTCTGCATCCTCAGAGATCTTCTCGTCGAGGAGCTTTTTGACATCAGTGAACTCTCTCTCTAGATGAGCCTTCTCTGATCTCATAGCGTCCGTCTCTGCTTGAAGCTCTCGTAGACGGTTTTGCATGTTGTCGTGGCGGGTCGAAAGGGATGCCCTCTCAGTTTCTAATTGCTGCTTATCTTCCTCATGTTTTCTTACATCGTTTCGCAGAACAGCCATCTCACTCTCTTTACGCCTGAGCATCTCCTCATATCCTGTAGAAGTTGCGGACAGATCAGAAATCTGCTGGCGGATCGAGCGGTTTTCGTCGACCAAGTCCTTAACTTGTTTTTTCGACTGATCCAGCTCTTTAGATGTGTTAGCTAGTTTAATATCAAGGTCCTGATCCACTTTCAATAGCTTGGCTTCCAGGTCATGAACCTTCTGGTCCTTTAAGGTGAGGTGGCTCTGTAGCATTTTCAACTCTTGGTCTAGTTCTTTGATATTGCCATCTTTGTGGGTAGAGACCTGCTCGGCCTCTAACAATTTCCGGTCAATTT